ATGACTCCCTCTCTTCCTGCTGCTGCACTCCCCTTACCTTCTTCCTCGACCTCTTCTTCCTCTCTCCCATCCTTCCGCATTCCCCCGCCCTCCACCACCTCCCCCAGGTGAAGCTGTCAGGGGCGGTGAGCAGCCAGTACCTCACAGCGCTGCTCATGTCGCTTCCATTGGCCAAGGGTGACAGCTCTATTGAGATGATCGACAAGCTGGTGTCCGTGCCCTATGTAGAGATGACCCTCCGTCTGATGGAGAGGTTCGGGGTGCACGTTGAGACGGAGGGCAACTGGGAGCGGTTTGGCATCTCAGGGAACCAGACGTACATGTGAGTGGGGAGGGGAGGGAGTGAGAGGGGAAGGGTGAGGAGACAGCAAGCAAGCTCGTGTCCGTGGCCTATGTGGAAATGACGCTTCACCTCATGGAGAGGTTTGGTGTGGATGTGGAGACCGAGGGCAACTGGGAGTGGTTTGGCATTACAGGCAACCAGACTTACATGTAAGTGCGGTTGGGAGTGGGAGAGAGGGATGGAGAGGGGTGAGACGGGGAACAAGCTGGTGCCGGTGCCCTATGTGGAGATGACGCTTCGCCTAATGGAGAGGTTCGGGGTGCATGTGGAGACTGAGGGCAACTGGGAGCGCTTCGGCTTTTGAGGCGCCTCAAAAGTCGTCTCTCTACCCGCAATTTTTGCATGTGGAGACTGAGGGCAACTTTTGAGGCAACTGGGAGCGCTTCGACTTTTGAGAGGTTCGGGGTGCATGCGGAGACTGAGGGCAACTGGGAGCGCTTCGGCATCGCAGGGGACCAGACCTACATCTTCCCGTACCCACGCCCCTGCCGTTTCCTCTCGAGCACCCCCGGACATGTTTTCGTGGAGGGAGCATACAGCGCCAGCTACTCCCGTCACTCGCCCTTCCATAACATTCCCTACCTGCCACCCCCATAACATTCCCTACCTGCCACCCTCATAACATTCCCTACCTGCCACCCCCATAACATTCCCTACCTGCCCCCCCCCCCCCCCCCCCCCCCCCCCCCTGCCACCACTCCTCTCTTTCCACTCCTCTCCAGCTCCCCCGGTCGTGCTTTTGTGGAGGGGGATGCGTCCAGCGCCAGCTTTTTCCCTCGCCTCTCTTACCTGTGCCCCAGATCCCCTGCAACTCCCCCCTTGCTGTGTTCCCACTTCCCCACTTCCCCTACTTACCAGCTCCCCCGGTCGTGCCTTTGTGGAGGGGGATGCCTCCAGTGCCAGCTACTTCCTTGCTGGCGCGGCCATTACTGGAGGGACTGTCACGGTGCATGGGTGCGGCCGCAGCAGCCTGCAGGTATGTATGAACGCGGATAGCATATATGCGTGGCCTATCCTAGTTTGTGGAGGGCGACGCATGCCTTGCTGGCGCGGCCATCACTGGAGGCACTGTCACGGTGCATGGGTGCGGCAGGAGCAGCCTGCAGGTGAGAAACGCGGATAGCATATATGCATAGCCTATCCTAGTTTGTGGAGGGCAATGCATGCATCCAGTGCCAGCTACTTCCTTGCTGGCGCGGCCATTACTGGAGGCACTGTCACCGTGGATGGGTGCGGCAGGAGCAGCCTGCAGGTAAGAGTGGTGGCTGTATGGCGTTATCCCGGTAACGAGCGGCCATCACTGGAGGTCCGGTCACCGTGCATGGGTGTGGGCGCAGCAGCCTATGCAGGTATGAAGGGTGATTGTACCTGGTCTATGTTATGATACCATTTTGTACTCATTGCACGTGTAAGTGTTGTCAGTGGTGCATGACATGAAACAGCGGCCATCGCTGGAGGCACCTTCATTGTGCATGGGTGTGGTCGCAGCAGCCTGCAGGTGAGAATGAGTGAGTGACGCGTGAAACCGCGGCCATTGCTGGAGGCACCTTCATTGTGCATGGGTGTGGCTGGAGCAGCCTGCATATTTTTTAGTCCACTCAAAAATACCGTCGCTGTGCATGGGTGTGGCTGGAGCAGCGTGCATATTTTTTGGTCGACTCAAAAATACCGTCATTGTGCATGGGTGTGGCTGGAGCAGTGTGTAGGTATGTGTGATTGTAACTAGTCTACTCGCGCCTGTAGTCATGAGCAGAAGACTAGTCTTTTCCCAAAGTGACTTTTGGGTCGACTCAAAAGTCATGAGGAGAAGACTAGTCTTTTCCCTGTAGCATTTTGTGATGGTGGAATTTTCTGCGTGATGGCAGAGGTGTGATGGCAGAGGTGTGATGGCAGAGGTGTGTGAAAGAGCAGGGATCCCTGGAGGCACTGTCAGAGCAACCCCTTCTTTCCTTTCCCGCTCCCACTCTCACCCTGCTTTCCTTTCCCCCTTCCCACGCTCACCCTTCTTTCCTTTCTCCCTTACTCCTCCACCTCCTCTTCTGTACTCGTTACAGGGTGATGTGCATTTCGCATCAGTGCTCGAGCAGATGGGAGCTACAGTGACGTGGGCGGAGGAGAGTGTGACTGTAACGGGGCCTCCCCCGGCAGCCAATGGGAGCATCCGACGGCTCAAGGGCATTGACGTGAACATGAACAAGATGCCAGATGTCGCGATGACATTGGCTGTCGTGGCTCTCTTTGCCGAAGGCCCCACTGCCATCCGTGATGGTGAGTGGGTCTCATTTTAGTGACACATCGCATCCTTGGCATGACACATGAGCACGACACGTGATCATGACACCCCGTAATCACACGCGGGCCAAATATGGGTAGCTCATTACATTGGCTGTTGTGGCTCTCTTTGCCGAAGGCCCCACTGCCATCCGTGATAGTGAGAGAGGGTCTCACTTTCATTTTAAGCACATCGCACATGAGCAAGGTATGGCGTTCGCTAAGGCCTTTTGAGGCTCCTCAGGTGTGGCATGCGGTTTCAAAGACACTGCCTTTCGTGACTCTTTTCCCTCTGCCATCCGCGATGGTGAGTGGGTCTCGTTTTAGTCACAGCACACATAAGCAAGGTCTGGCCTTCAAAGTGTCGTAAGGCCTTTTGAGGCTCCTCAGGTGTGGGATGCGGTTTTGAAGACACTGCCTGTCGTGGCTCTTTTCGCGGAAGCCCCCACTGCCATCCGTGATAGTGAGTTGGTCACGTCGCACATAAGAACGTCGCAGGAAAACTAGATCTTCTTAACTGCCCCTCCTTACCTCTTTCCGTGTCCCTGCTATTCCATCTCCTCCTTTGTATCTCTGCAGTGGGAACATGGCGTGTGAAGGAGACAGAGCGAATGATCGCCATCTGCACTGAACTGACCAAGGTGAGTGCCTCTGATGCTTCTGTTGTGCCTCTGCTGATTGTGGATCTAATGCGCTTGCCTGTTATCCCAGGTGTGCTACTCCATGTGATAGGTTAAACTGTCTATCTCCCCTCTGCATTTTCTCCATTTTTCCAATTCCTCCTTTCTCCCTCAGCCGGGAGCACATGTGGAGGAGGGTCCAGACTACTGCATTATCTAATTGTGCCCAACTGAACCCCCCTCCCCTGTCCCCCCTCCCCTGTCCCCCCTCCCCCCTCCCCCCTCCCACCTCCTGACAACTCCCTTTAGAGGAGGGAGGAGAGGGGAGGGGGGGTCAGGCAGATAGTACAGTTGTGAAGGCTGAACACAACAGTACTATCTGCCTGACCCCTCCTCCCCCCTCCCCCCTCCTCTCCTTTTCTTCAGCTAGGAGCTTATGTGGAGGAGGGGCCGGACTGCTGCATCATCACACCCCCGGAGCGCGTGCTCCCAGCAGAGATTGACACACCCGTATATCCGTTCTTTTTTATTTCCCCACCACTCTCCCTCAGCTGGGAGCGCATGTGGAGGAGGGACCGGACTACTGCATCATCACACCCCCGGAGCGCGTGCTCCCAGCGGAGATCGACACGTATGACGACCACCGTATGGCCATGTCCTTCGCCCTCGCCGCCTGCTCCGGAACGCCGGTGGTGATCCGGGACCCTGGATGCACACGCAAGACCTTCCCCGACTATTTTGACGTGCTCAAGAGCGTTTCGCACTGAGAGGAGTTGCGCTGCCGAAGCTCTCATTTGCCCTGTTGTGTTTAGGGACCTGTTACGGACTGGTGTAAGCTGTTTTGGTACATACATGCACTAAAGCATATCAAATTGGCTAGTGGATTCGAAATATATTTCTTGAATGCCTTTTCAGTTGTGTTGAGCTTAAATCAGTAGACTGTAGAAGGAACCGATAAAGCAAACATTCGCCAGATCTGGGTTCTACTTCGGACTCGACGAAGCTGTCAGTCCGCGTTCGTCATTCCGTGTGAGGAGAGGGGCTCGGCGTTCGCCGATGTGAATCATCCGACGGCTGTCTGACACACACGTGCCCAGTTTCCAAGGATCTTGGCCCACACATCAGGAGTTGTGGTAACTTCCTCATGGTCCGGAACATCCCTTCTCAAGGCTTGTTTGTTGAGAAACTCGGCTCGAAATCGTATTTTTCTCTTCGTGCTGTGGTCCCGCGAAATTTGTAAGCCTGGCAGAGACAGCTCATGAAACTCGCAGCTCGTTGCTTCAAATCTCGTCTTGTTCCTTGTCTGGTGTTTTGTCAAATATCACGCCTAAGATTCCAGTAACAGAAATGCTGAAATCGGGGCAAGTCGAACCTGAGAAACCAAACACCCCCTACGCTTGGCCACTCCTGGTGATGGGTATCTCTTGATCTCACGTATCACGGTTGTATTCGGTTTTGTGCGTTACACAGTGGTAAAAGCAATGTTTGTGGTAAATCGTGCGAAACCTAGCTGAACCGCATTCGCTACCAAAAACTCAACGTCTCAGCGGCTCAGCTGTTGATAGCCATTCCGTGTCTTATCTGTTGGGTATTCCTGCAAAGCCTTTCCTTCGGTGGCTTTGCGCTGACTGCGAAGCCTTTCGAGTCTCCGTGACGCATTGCTGGCTGTTTTCGTTGCTCGCACGCTAGCTTCGCATCGTTGTGACGGTGATAGACTTTTTGTTTTAGATCTCGAAAGCAGCTTTCTGGGCTAAGGTTTCGGCACCATGCTCTTCTTGCTCTCATGGCCTCTCCTGTAAGTTCGTAGCAATTAACGTTGATCGTAGCAGCACGTCGAAGCCGGTCAGAGTTTCTTCTTCCCCTCCTTCCTGAGTTCATTTAACTCGCTCTGTTGATTTACTACACCTTTTTCCTGTCTTCCATCTGCCCTACTAGGATCGTACTCTGGTTAATCTCTCTCGTCATCCCCGGATCTCTGCTTTGGTATTTGTATCCAGCATGCGAATGTGTTTTATATTCTGCATACTAACGCATATGCTAAATATTGTTCCCGATTGCAGGTCTCTGCTGGGGTACCTGTATCCAGCATACGCAACGTACAAGACGGTAGAGCGACGCTCTTCTGAACCGGATGATTTCCGCTTCTGGTGCAAGTACTGGTGAGTTTGTTTGTTTGCTTGGAAGTGCGAACCGCAAGCGTGAATTGAGCATGGTCTATGTGTGGTCTATCATGGCATGTACTTCGATCAGGAAGCAACGATGTATACGTTCTAACCTCGCTTGTTGTTGATCGTTTCTCCAGGGTGATTATGGCTGCATTCCACGTCTTGGAGAGCTGTCTTTTCTTTGGCCTCATCACCTGGTGAGTCCAATCTATCAACGATAAGATAATCTGAACAGTTTGATGTCGGTTCTATGGTATGCAATCACTTCCGAATTTTTATCCTTACTATGTTTCTGTGTGTTTCTACCTAATATCTTGTGTCAGCGTATTATATTCTGAATTCCCGCGCGCATCGTCTCTTTGCTCAGGCTTCCGTTCTATGACGTCTTCAAAGTCCTCTTCTGCGTATACCTCTGGCATCCGCGAACTCAGGTACGGATGCTTCTCCTTTTCTCGCTCACTCAGTTGCATCGCTGTCATGGCGTGTACGCGTTGCGTTCTGCGCTGTTCTTCACGGTTTGTCCGCGCTGCAATTCGTTCGTCTCGTCCTGCCACTGTCCCATAACTTTCTCACGCACGTTTATTGCAATCTTGCGGGATTTTCCCATTCACATTGGCCTCCCTTCTCCTGTGTCCTTGGATCCTTCCAACTCGCAGGGCACACTGCTGATCTACCACCGTGCCATCGTACCTGCTTTGTCGCGCCACGAGCAAGAGATTGACCGCAGGATCGCGGAGGTGCAGACACGTGGAATGGATCTGGCCGTTGAGTACTCTCGCATTCTCGCATCTAAGATCATGTCTCTTGCCAAGGCGGGCGCTGAGGCTGCCCCTAAAGTCTACGAACGTTACCAGGTGAGCAAAATGTTGACTGGCGAGCGAAGCGCTAGCAGGGGAGCGAAACGTTCCAGGTGAGAGAACGCTACCAGGTGAACGAAATTCAACCATGCGAGCGAAATTACCATCTTAGCGATATTGTTGTCAGGGAGAGAACGGTACCAGCTGAACGGAAGTCTTCAAGCAAGAAAAAAATCAACGCATAAGCCAAGTGAGCTTCACATCCATCGCCAGGTGAGGGATGTTATGAGGTGAGCGACGCGTGCATGTGCAAGGATGGTGAGTACCGGTGTCTGACGTCTTGTCTCACGTGAACGTGCACAGCCCACAATCAGCCGTCCCTCCTTCCCTGTCCCTCACGGCCTCCCATCACCCATATCACAGCGCGTTTTCCACAGTCAAGGTAGCAGGAACTAAGTTTCTCCGTTGCCTTTTCCTTTCATGACCTCCCGTCGGAAATGATTTTCTTTCTTGTTAGTTTTTGGGTGCCAATGGCTTGAGCTCGCCAAGCTGATTCCCATTTCAACAGCCTTGTTTCTTCATTTCATCACGCACAACGTTACAACAACAAGCTACTTCTCACTCTGACGCTTCTACCCCCTCCCATAGAATCTCTTCGTTTTCCCCTTCGTTTACCATTACCACCTTGCTTTCTCTCCTAATCTCCCTGTTCCCATCACTCGCTTTATGCCACTCCCAGCAAAAGCCTCTACTCAGCAGGACTCCACACCCCAGCCAGCTGCATTCACATTGTTCACGGATTGCATTTCCTTTGTTGTTGCATGAAATGTCCTTATGTTTTTTTCCCAGCCTGCTATTTCACAGCATTGACCTCCTCACTGACTGGCACAGCCATTGAATCAATAGCTGGAAAGTGGTTTTGCCTGAATGTTTTGTTTCCCTTTCTTTCTATCCCACATCCCGCCCGCAGCAGCATGCTGCTGCCCAGCCTGCTGCTTCCACAGCATCCACCTCCTCGTATTCCTCTGGGGAGCTGGAAGTTTGAACTCAGAATTGGGGAACATTTACTGGCTGATAAGTGTTTGTTGCCTGATTGTGTTTTTTCCCATGTTTTCTATCCCTCATCCCCCTGCAGCAGCATGCTGCCGCCCAGCCTGCTGCTTCCACAGCATCCACCTCCTCGTACTCCTCAGGGGAGCTGGGAGATAAGATCACGGGATTGGGGGATCCAGTGGACTACGATACTGGCCTTAGGGCTCGCAAGCCAACTTCTGCTACTGGGATGGACTAGCTTATAGTAATAATGAAAAGTTATGGTGGTGTGGCTAAGTGGACTTCTGAAGGGGTGTGCATGGCTTGTGTGCACCCATTAGTGCATGGCTACTGTGCATCGATAGGGTATTGTGGACTGGCTACCTTTGCTGCTGATGTGAAATCCTCCATTCTAGTCTAGCATGGAGTGTTAGATGGTGCAAGCTACCCTATTTGTACAGCCAGGGATGGTGGAGAAAGCAGGATGTTCATGATAAGGCTGTTCTCATCCGATTTACAGATGTTTAGATTTTGTGGTTATCAACGCGTAACTTGTCCGTCTTGCATATTATCCTGGGATTTTCTTCGCTTGCCCCCCAGGCATCGCTATCTCCCAGTTATCGAAGGATGAGACAGGTTTTACGCGGTAACCAGCTTGTGCAATCGGGCAATCTTCAGCCCTGACGGGAAATTTGCGAAAGTTTCGGACGTGAAATTCCAGCGGACATGCGAACTAGAGCGAAAGATCCTACTCTGATGTTGGATGGATCAGCTGGGGTTTCGTACTGGGCTGAACCATCTGCTTTTTCCTGTTTCAGGCTTTTTCCTGTGATAGCGCTGGCTCTTTGCCAGTAACTCGGCGGCTAGATCTGGTGGGGAGCAGTCACAAGAAGGGAGACAGAGACGGCACAGCGGAGCAGCTAGGCAGCTGCTGAGATTGGCGCTTTCCTGATCCTGCTTGCTCGCCGCTGCCATGTAGTGAGTAATTCGTCCTGTGCTTTGTCGGACCAATACTCCCTGCGGATATGCATGTGACCAGAGCTTTATACTTTCTATATGTTCCAAAAGCTGTTTTTGCATGTCCAAAATCGTATTTAGTGCCATAGTTTACCACGATCTCGTGCAATTTGTGGTTCCTTACAAGAGATTGCCTCAGTTGCCTGTGGTCTAGCAGAGAGGCATGAGATTCTCGTGAATGCTATGGTACTGATTGCTGTCGAATCGCTTTTATCTGTTGGTTATGTGGGATCGTTTTTGCGTCTTGATTCATGTTGTATGGTTGTTGCTTCTTCGTTTGTATGAAATTGTTGCTGTGGTCAGTCGGTCCGGCGGCTCACGTTATGGAGGCGATTACAGGGGAGGTGACTATAGGGGAGGCGACTACAGGGGAGGTGGAGGCGGCTACCAGACTTCCGCTCGGCTTTACGTTGGTCGTCTCTCCACGCGGACTCGCACTCGAGATCTCGAGTCGCTTTTCGGGAAATACGGAAGGTAAGTTCTGTGTCTAACCTGATGCACCTTGTCTTATTACTGATGAAATGGTTCCGATGAGACCGTTGACCCTTGAAGTCTCAAATCATAAGGTCATTGACCGGGGATCATCTATTTGCTAACGTCCCTTGCACATCCTTAACTTTCATGCTCAAGGTCGTTGAACCATACGGACGTTGAACCATACGGACGTTGAACTATACAGACGTTGACCCATACGGACCTTGACCGCTAACCTCCCTTGCACATCCTTCATTCTCATGCTCATGGTGACCATGACCTAGACTCCCTTCTCTCCAATCTACATCCACGACCCGATTGCTTTCCTTTATTCGCTCGTGCGGGGTGCGTTGTCGGGTTTTCGGCTGGCGGTCGCGTCGGTACTGTAGCTTCTGGTGAAATGCGCATCGGTTGAAACGCGAATCGGGTGAAACGTGGGGTGAAACGCGAATCGGGTGATGTTCACGCCGGGTGAAGCGCGCGTGGGTCGCCTCACAGTGCATGTCTCGCGCGATCTTGGTGCTTTCCCGGGTGCTTCACGGTCGCGGTGGTTGCGATCGGTTTTCGGTGTTTCCCGTTGCAACATCGGTTCCGTTCTTGCTGCAATTCGCTGCGATGATTTGGAAGCATTTGCGGACGAAAATCGCGCGAAGATGCTTTTCGCTTTCCGCGCGCGGGCTGATCGCCGTCGTATGCGCTTCGCGGGCGGTTTCGCGCGTTCTCGCGGGCTTCCGGGCTCTTGCGATCTTGCGTCATTGCGGGGACGCGTAGCGCTTATCGAGTCGATGCGTTTTAACGGGGATGTCGCTCGCGCGCGGGGTAAAGCGCGGGTTCGCGAGGTTGCGCGTGCGTGTTGGTTCGGACGGTTTTCAACGCAGCTTCGTGGGGCTTGTTCGACTCTTACAGTGCGGTATGGTGTGGTTTGGTGCGGTTTCGGTGTCTGCTTTAGTCTTTTGTTTGGGAGTTTGCTGGTGGGTGGGTGTGTTACGACTGTTGAAATGTTCTCCCCTCCTCAGCAGATGAAGCGGCGTCACCCATTTAAACTCCTGTTGTCTGTTGACCTAGATTTGTTGCCGTCTATTGCTTCTCGCTCGCCCTGCCTTTTTAGTAAAACCTCTCTCGCTCTCCCTCCTTCCCCTCCCCTCCCTCCGGCTCGTTTTTTCGTGTGTGTTCGCTTTCCTCCTTGTTTCTCCCCCTGTCTCTCTTGCATGCAGGATTCGTGACGTGGACATGAAGCGTGACTATGCGTTCATTGTGCGTAAAAACCTGGATATGAGGCTCTATTTTGATACTTGCGGTTTGTTTAGCATTCTCACAATTCCTTCCTGTTGATTTCTGACTCTGCTCTTCAAAACTCATGTGGTAATTTTGTTGATGACCTTTGCAAATGACGCATACCCGGACCTCCACTCTTGCTTCCGCTCTCGTTAGCCCCCCCTCACTTTCGTCCCTTCCTTCCCGTCACTCTCCTGCATTTCTCCCCACTTCGCTCTCCGTTTCTTTGTTTGTTTGTTTGTTTGTTTGTTTTTTTTTTTTTTTGCGTGAAGGCGTGGGGCACGTGTGGTTTAGATGAATACTGAATAGTTGCTGAGTCTGGGCGTTTTTGTTTTGTTCTCTTCCGTTCAGGAATTTAGCGACTCGAGGAACGCAAAAGACGCAGTGCACTCGTGAATATATATGCTCCCCCTCTTGACCCCATCCCCCCCTCTTTCCCCCCTTCCCCCCCCTTCCCTCTTCGTCCCCCTTGTGCTTGTTCGGTTCCGTACAGGAATTCAGCGACTCGAGGGATGCTGAAGATGCCGCCCATTATCTGAACGGCAAGGACGTGGACGGCAGCCACATCATCGTGGAGTTCACCCGCAGGGTACGTTGCTCTCCTGCTTGTAGCTGCAATGTAGGGGTGTGTGCTACGCGCCTCTATGATTGTGTTTGAACGGCAAGGACGTGGACGGCAGCCACATCATCGTGGAGTTCACTTGCAGGGTACGCTGGGTTTCTTCCCTGCAGCTGTCGTCTAGAGTTTTCACGTGCCTCTATGATCGTTCTTGTGCAACAGCAAGGACGTGGATGGCAGCCACATCATCGTGGAGTTCACTTGCAGGGTAAGTAAGGTCTCCTGTTTTGTGATGTCTCAATACAGGGTACGCTGGGTTGGCTGTCTTGCCTGAGCTGCCATCTAGGGTATTAGCGCACCTTTATGAACGTTTCTGCGCAACCGCAAGGAGGTGGACGGCAGTCACATCATCGTGGAGTTCACTCGCCGGGTACGTTGCTTTGTTGCCTGTAGCTGCAATGTAGGGGTGTGTTCTACGTGCCTTCATAATCGTATCTGAATGTAAGGACGTGGACGGCAGTCACATCATCGTGGAGTTCACTCGTGGACGCATGTAGTGCGTTGGGTGTCTTGGCTGTAGATGCAGGTTCAAGGACAGAGTCCATTGCCACCAATCGTGCTGCTTTTGAGTCGACTCAAAAGAAGCACGAATGGTGGCAATGGACTCTGTTCTTGAATGACATCTACAAACCTTTGTTCAAGTCGAGGCAACTGGCTGTAAATGTCATTTACGCGCAAAGCCGGTCGCATCCAGTCGTGCTTCATTTCAAACAGTATGATTGGTGGTCTGATTTGTTTTGGTCTGATTCGACTAATCTGTATTGACTCCGTCCTGTCTCCTTGGGGCCAATGCTTCTTTCCACTTCCCACCCCTCCTCCTCCCCCCTTCCTCTTCCGCCCGTCCAACCACCAGGGTCCGCGCGGGCAGGGCTTTGGGGGGCCGCCAGGTCCGCGCATGGGGGGGGATGGGCATCACGCAGGGGCGCTGCTACAACTGCGGCAAGAATGGGCACTGGGCGCGCGACTGCCCTCTGCACCCCTTCTCTCCCTTCCGCCCGTTCTCCCCCCCTTCCCCACTGTCCGCTTTTGCCAACCCGTCCCTCCCACCTTCCAACCCCTCCCTTTCCCCCTCCGTCCCCCCCGATTCCCACCTCCCACCCCCTCCTCCCTGCCCGTTTCCTTCCCTCCAGGGTCCGCGCGGGCAGGGCTTTGGGGGTCCGCCGGGGCCGCGCATGGGGGGGATGGGCATCACGCAGGGGCGCTGCTACAACTGCGGCAAGGACGGGCACTGGGCGCGCGACTGCCCTCTGCGCCCCTTCTCTCCCTTCCGCCCGTTCTCCCCCCCTTCCCCACTGTCCGCTTTTGCCAACCCGTCCCTCCCACCTTCCAACCCCTCCCTTTCCCCCTCCGTCCCCCCCAATTCCCACCTCCCACCCCCTCCTCCCTGCCCGTTTCCTTCCCTCCAGGGTCCGCGTGGGCAGGGCTTTGGGGGTCCGCCGGGGCCGCGCATGGGGGGGATGGGCATCACGCAGGGGCGCTGCTACAACTGCGGCAAGGACGGGCACTGGGCGCGCGACTGCCCTCTGCACCCCTTCTCTCCCTTCCGCCCGTTCTCCCCCCTTCCCCACTGACCGCTTTTGCCAACCCGTCCCTCCCTCCTTCCAACCCCTCCCTTTCCCCCTCCGTCCCCCCCGACCCCCACCTCCCACCCCCTCCTCCCTGCCCGTTTCCTTCCCTCCAGGGTCCGCGTGGGCAGGGCTTTGGGGGTCCGCCGGGGCCGCGCATGGGGGGGATGGGCATCACGCAGGGGCGCTGCTACAACTGCGGCAAGGACGGGCACTGGGCGCGCGACTGCCCTCTGCGCCCCTTCTCTCCCTTCCGCCCGTTCTCCCCCCCTTCCCCACTGTCCGCTTTTGCCAACCCGTCCCTCCCACCTTCCAACCCCTCCCTTTCCCCCTCCGTCCCCCCCGATTCCCGCCTCCCACCCCCTCCTCCCTGCCCGTTTCCTTCCCTCCAGGGTCCGCGTGGGCAGGGCTTTGGGGGTCCGCCGGGGCCGCGCAGGGGGGGGATGGGCATCACGCAGGGGCGCTGCTACAACTGCGGCAAGGACGGGCACTGGGCGCGCGACTGCCCTCTGCGCCCCTTCTCTCCCTTCCGCCCGTTCTCCCCCCTTCCCAACTGACCGCTTTTGCCAACCCGTCCCTCCCTCCTTCCAACCCCTCCCTTTCCCCCTCCGTCCCCCCCGACCCCCACATCCCACCCCCTCCTCCCTGCCCGTTTCCTTCCCTCCAGGGTCCGCGTGGGCAGGGCTTTGGGGGTCCGCCGGGGCCGCGCATGGGGGGGATGGGCATCACGCAGGGGCGCTGCTACAACTGCGGCAAGGACGGGCACTGGGCGCGCGACTGCCCTCTGCACCCCTTCTCTCCCTTCCGCCCGTTCTCCCCCCTTCCCCACTGACCGCTTTTGCCAACCCGTCCCTCCCTCCTTCCAACCCCTCCCTTTCCCCCTCCGTCCCCCCCGACCCCCACCTCCCACCCCCTCCTCCCTGCCCGTTTCCTTCCCTCCAGGGTCCGCGTGGGCAGGGCTTTGGGGGTCCGCCGGGGCCGCGCATGGGGGGGATGGGCATCACGCAGGGGCGCTGCTACAACTGCGGCAAGGACGGGCACTGGGCGCGCGACTGCCCTCTGCGCCCCTTCTCTCCCTTCCGCCCGTTCTCCCCCCCTTCCCCACTGTCCGCTTTTGCCAACCCGTCCCTCCCACCTTCCAACCCCTCCCTTTCCCCCTCCGTCCCCCCCGATTCCCGCCTCCCACCCCCTCCTCCCTGCCCTTTTCCTTCCCTCCAGGGTCCGCGTGGGCAGGGCTTTGGGGGTCCGCCGGGGCCGCGCAGGGGGGGGATGGGCATCACGCAGGGGCGCTGCTACAACTGCGGCAAGGACGGGCACTGGGCGCGCGACTGCCCTCTGCGCCCCTTCTCTCCCTTCCGCCCGTTCTCCCCCCTTCCCAACTGACCGCTTTTGCCAACCCGTCCCTCCCTCCTTCCAACCCCTCCCTTTCCCCCTCCGTCCCCCCCGACCCCCACATCCCACCCCCTCCTCCCTGCCCGTTTCCTTCCCTCCAGGGTCCGCGTGGGCAGGGCTTTGGGGGTCCGCCGGGGCCGCGCATGGGGGGGATGGGCATCACGCAGGGGCGCTGCTACAACTGCGGCAAGGACGGCCACTGGGCGCGCGACTGCCGCAACGGCGATTGGGGCGGCAAGTGCTACCGGTGCGGCGAGCGCGGGCACATTGAGAGGGACTGTAGGAACAGCCCGGCTCAGAGGTGAGAGTTCTAAGGTGTCCTAGAGCAGGAATTGGGAGAAAAATTTAGAGGTGACTGGGGCAATCTGAGGCAAGGACGGCCACTGGGCGCGCGACTGCTGCCGCAACGGGGATTGGGGCGGCAAGTGCTATTGGTGTGGCGAGCGCGGGCACATTGAGAGGGACTGCAGGAAGAGCCCGGCTCAGAGGTGAGAGTTCTATGGTGTCTCAGAGCAGGAATTGGGAGAAGAATTCAGAGGTGACTGGGGCAATCTGAGGCAAGGACGGCCACTGGGCGCGCGACTGCCGCAATGGGGATTGGGGTGACAAGTGCTACCGGTGCGGCGAGCGTGGGCACATTGAGAGGGACTGCCGGAACAGCCTGGCTCAGAGGTGTGTTGGGTCTGTTGGGTTTCTCAGCTGTTGTGAGGGACTGCTGTAATGGGGACTGGGGCGGCAAGTGCTATCGGTGCGGGGAGCGCGGGCACATTCAGCGGGACTGCCGGAACAGTCCGGCTCAGAGGTGAGAGTTCTGAGATGTTTTTTGAAACAATATCTGGGAGGAGAATGGAGAGGTGCTACGTACAGTAGGGCAAGGACGGCCACTGAGTGCGCGACAGTCGGAATGGTGATTGGGGCGGCAAGTGCTACCGGTGCGGCGAGCGCGGGCACATTGAGAGGGACTGCCGGAACAGCCCGGCTCAGAGGTGAGAATTCTGAGATGTTTTTTGAAACAATATCTGGGAGGAGAATGGAGAGGTGCTACGTACAGTAGGGCAAGGACGGCCACTGAGTGCGCGACTGTCGCAACGGCGACTGGGGCGGCAAGTGCTACTGGTGCGGCGAGCGTGGGCACATTGAGAGGGACTGCCGGAACAGCCTGGCTCAGAGGTGTGTTGGGTCTGTTGGGTTTCTCAGCTGTTGTGAGGGACTGCTGTAATGGGGACTGGGGCGGCAAGTGCTATCGGCGCGGGGAGCGCGGGCACATCGAGTGGGACTGCCGGAACAGTTTGGCTTAGAGGTGCGCTGGGTGTGTGTTGGTCTGGGAATCGCAGATGTTAGAGCTGTGTGGGACTGTTGCAATGGTTACTGGGGTGGCAATTGCTACTGCTGCGGTGGGCGCAGGCACATCGAGAGGGACTGTCGGAGCAGCCCTGCAGAGAGGTGTTCTTTGGATTGCTTTCTGCTGTGCAATCCAGGTGAAGGTATAGGCTTTTCTTAGAGTTCTCAAAAACATATGGTCTTCTCTCTGATTGCTTTCTGTCGTGTGAACCCGGTGCAGGTATCGGTTATTTAGTTTTCTCAAAAGCACTCACGGTGTTTGCTTTCTGTCGTGTGAACCCGGTGCAGGTATCGGTTATTTATTTTTCTCAAAAGCACTCATGGTGTTTGCTTTCTGTTGTGTGAATCCGGTGCAGGTATCGGTCTCGCAGCCGCAGCCGCTCCCGCAGGTATCACGTTTGTTCTAAACCTTTCTTCTGGCCTCGTTTCTTTTTTTCCCAAGCCTTCTGCTTGTTCCCCTGTATCGCCGTGAAGCACTAATGGTCTTCTTGCACTGATGCTTATTCATCACTTGTGCATCATATGTTAATCCCCCTGTTCGTGGGCTCTTTCTCCTGTATTTTTTGTTTTCTCGCTTTCTCCTCCAACCAGCCCTCGCCGTGGGCGTGACCGGCGCAGCCGCAGCAACAGCAAGGACAGGGACGAGCGCAGCAAGAGCCGCAGCCGGAGCAGGAGCCGCAGCCGCAGCAACGACCGCGCCAAGGACCGCAGCAGGAGCAGGAGCAACGAGCGCGGGAAGGATCGGGAGAATGGGAAGAAGGCCGGAAGCCGCAGCCCCTCGCGCAGCCGCAGCCGCAGCAGGAGCGCGAGCAAGGAGGGGAGGAACAGCCGGAGCCCCAGTGCAGAGAAGAAGGAAGAGAAGAGTCCTAGGCGGAGCAGGAGTGCGAGTAAGGAGAGGAGCAAGAGCAGGAGTAAGAGCCCTGCCAGGAGGAGTGCTAGCCCTGCCAGGAGGAGTGCTAGTCCTGCCAGGAGGAGTGCTAGTCCTGCCAGGAGTGCTAGCCCTCATGATGGTGGGTCACCTAAGAGGTCTCCGATGCAGGATGCAGATGGGGGAGGGAGCCCCGAGAGGAAGGGAGATGATGCAGGAAAGGATGGGGATGAGTAGATTTGGATATGCACTGGATGTTTTCTTTCACTGCAATCTTCAACTGTCAGAACTTAGGGCATGTTCCTACGGCCCCTTATCAGGCCAACCTCTTATCAAGCTCGCGTCAAAACACACTGAAAATTTCATAAACTTGAAACCCCTCGCTACCTTTACCAGGCAAGGCTGACAAGAGGTTTGCCTGATAAGAACGTAGGGACACGCCCTTAGTGCTGTTGCGATTCGACTTATTTTTGGGTTGCGAAGCAACCCTTTACAATCGATTTTGACAAATTTTCTTTTCATGTTTTTTATTTAACATGAAAATAAAATTCGTAAGCTACAGTACCACCCTTCCCATTGTGCATATATTAATTGCTTTTTTTTATTTTAGTAATTTTTTGCCTATATGCTATACTGTTTGCGTTTATGTTTTACTGCTTGCCGTTGTTGTGATAATTGCATGTAAAAATGTTACGAATATGAGTAATGAAGTACATACCACGCATGCTTAAATGAATGTAATGCGGCAAGATATATAGATGCATAATACTGATACATGGATGAAAATGCTTTTCCATGAAGCGAAATGCTGAAATGCAACATACGGGATGTCATACAAATGCGTGATAGTTAACGACCCAAAAACTAGGCTACCGCATCCCCTGCCTAGCATGGGGGGGAAGTCAATAGCTAAGTCTTTGAATAATAAACCAACACATGAAAAAATGCAATCTGTTAACTCTAAAAAAGAGGTTCACTCTATCAAATCCAGTTCGAAGTGGCAAACACACGAGTCACTGAGTGCGCCAATGAACCAATGAGAAATTATAGAAATGAACCTCTTTTTTAAAATTGACAGACATGCATTAATATTGCAATGATCAATGAGATGAATGCACTCACAATCAAACACATTCACACAATCAAAAGCACAAACAACAGCAAACCCAGCCAAAACACGCGATAATAAATAACATGCAAATCAACATTAAATGGACAATATGACAAGATAAATCATGAAAGTGACCGATACACATTTTCCAGATTCAAATCCCCTTCCTGAGCAGCAAGACTCCTGAGAAACGGGTTTAGAATGTAGAAAGGAGGAACGAAAGAAATAGTCGGTAAAAAAAAAAACAGAAAAGGAAATGAGGTGTGATGAAACGAGATGCAGGAATAACCAGAAACAAGAAAGGAAATTGAAGACAAAAGCGGATAACATAGGCACAAGAAATTGAAGCAAAAGAAACGAAAACAGGCCAAACTAGGACGAATTGACCTCATACCCTAATTCGCCTAGCAAGCTACCTCGAAATGGTCCCCATGGGAAAAACGTTGAACAGAATGTTAGGAGGAAGATAAGGAGAGCAGAAAAAACAAAGTAACATACACGGAGGAACGAAGTATATCATGCAAAAGGCAAAAGGGGGAAAGGATCTAATATGAAACAAAAAGAATCACTCTATCTCTTCCTTGCTCTCTCATTGAAACAAAGTCGGTAAGGAAAGGAGAAGAGGTTAGAATGTCGATTTCATCTACTAATTTTGCACTCATACTCTCCTTCACATTCTTCTCAACTCTCCTCATGCTTTCTTCTCCTCACGCTCTCTTCCTCATACGCACACACTCTCCCTCTCAATCTGTGCCTCTCCGGTATTCTTTATCACATAGTATTTTCGCACATGACTACCCTCTCACTCCCTTTCACAGTTTGAACTCACCAAGTTCTGCCGACATGCTCGTGCCCTTCTTTGCTGCTGCCGACGCGGATAATGCGCATGACGCTGAGCGTGGTGCGCGCCTGGCACCGGCAAAAACACACCAGCGCGACTTGCACCAGCAAAACGACGGTAGTGAGAGGATAAAGAAGGGGAAATGAAGAAGAGAGAGAAGAAGGGAGGGAGAATCGAGAGAGAACGGTAAAAAGGAGATAAAGGAGAAGAGGGAAGGGAGGGAAGAGAGGTGAACACATATGTGAAGGAAAACAATAAGATGCATTAAAGATAATGAACGCACCGACATAAAAATTAGGCCTTACGAAACGACAACACGTCAGTTTCTGGATAAGACTGCTCTAAACTGAGTGTGAAAAAAAAAGAGCGAAAACATGAAAATACGAGGTGGTAAAAACGCAACCGACGAAAAGGAAAAGTAAGGACGGTGGATAGAGGAAACGGATGGCAGATTATGCACAAAGAAACGAAACCAAAAAAATACAAGAAAGTTACGAAGTCTTTACAAAGGGCCCTAAGCTTAAACATCATAGTCTAGCTAATAAGTCATATTTTTACACGTGAGATTACTACGCTTGTCTATCTAAGACTCATCTAACTTCGTTGCAGTTGAGCATAGGGAGTAGTTAGGGGGAGCTTAGGCACTTATGCTTCTCACCTTCGTCTGGTACGTGGGGTGCTCAGCGTGACCAGCGAGAGAAAAAAAGAACACAAACCCTAATGCAAGTAAGCATTTCCTCGCGTTGTTATTTAATAAATATTTGTTTGTCTTTAAGATATCTGTGATGGCGTAGTTGGTAGGAGATTCTTTATATCCGAATGGTAATGGTTTCGACCCTCACGTGGGCAGTTTTGCTACTATTAACAAGAAACAGCTACTCGGTATAAAAAGTAGAGCAATCATTAGAAAGGAGATCCATACTAGCTGTTAGATCCGTATAATGTTAATTACGCAAAAAGCTTCGCAACCCTAGGACGACCTTGTCGCCTCTTGTTTTTTACTCATTGTGTTTCGGATCAACACACACAGTGTTGTTGCCCCTTGACCTCGTGTTGGCTCGCCATGGGACCAGCAAGAGGTTAGGGTTGTGGTTCGGCTTTCATCCGTCACTGTGGTATGGTCAAGGAGCTGTGGAGATTGCAGCTTTCAAACGCGTTTCTTCGTAGGGAAACGATCAAACTGGGGCCGAAGAGTGCCAGAGAGATGATCAAAGTAGGGCCAGAAAATCTTGACCGTAGGATTTCGACCCCGAGCTGCCCAAGAGGCCTCTTGGTTTGGTTAGTTCCGGACCTCTTGGTCCTTGTTCGAACACCTCCATGGCACTGTTCGGCCCTTGTATGATCTTCTCCCTTCTTCGTATGATCAGAGTGGAGTTCGCGTGAGTTTCGCACAGTTTCAAGCAAGCAGGTCAGGGTACAGCCTGCAACCCTGTTTCGCTTCACACGGTGTCAGTGTGACACTGCTACAGTTTGTCAGACGGACTTGCCGCACAAACCCCTTCCCGCCGTTTTGTGCTTGCTGAAACCGGCTCGACGATTCTTGGTTCTTGATTTTGCGTTTCTGTGATTAGTTCCGAACCAGCAGTCAGGCTCTTCAGACATTCGAAGCCTGGGGGTTACAGTTTCAACTTCTGCTAGCTTCGTCAAGGACCTAGAGTGGGTGTCAACGTTATTCAGCCAAGTGGGGCTGGGCGCGGCTCCCTGCGAGCTGGGCGCGGCTCCCTGCGAGCTGGGCGCGGCTCCCTCTGCCCTCTTAAGAAACCGACTCAACCTGAGTAAACCGATGCGAAACACGCCGACACCCCTTCTCTCCCCTCCTTTTCCTGCGCCATCAACACTCCCTCTCCCCCATCCTCGTGAATCCCAGGGATCACCATATCTTGGTTTCATTTGGTTGGTTTTAGAGCGTTTTAGAAAGGTTGTAGGGGAAAACAGGCTCTCGTACCAATTCCAAAGCGAGCTCCCTCCACGTGCCTGTCAGCTGCTGTCATATCAGAGTTTTGTCAGACAATGGCAGGATGACCGACCAAGCCAGGGACGAATCGCGCTGGTCTTTTCAGAATTCCTGCTGCTTTTGCGGTGTGTTTGGTCACCCAGCGTCAGTTCCAGCTATAGCTGATCTGCTCGTTCACGTGTGTCTGCGTAATGCTAGCACGATTGCAGGGGACTCATCAGTAAGGTTTCTTCTGGCAATGTGATCCGTTTCGTGTTCTGAAAGTCGCCGTTTCGTTGCGTCAAATCAACCAGGCATGGTCGAATTCGAATCGTGTTCTGTCGCTAGTACTTGGTGAAGGGTACTTTCAAGCATCAGCATCTAAATACAGATTTAGTCTTCGCCCGCGCATGAGCTGCGTGCCTGATGTACAGAACACGACGGGGTTGCGACTATCGACGTTAGAGTTGTGCTCCTTGCTGATTCAATCTACACTCCAAGCTTGCACGGGGAAATCTGAACGACCATTGCCTCAATTCATTCATAAAGACTCTAAAGGAGACCAACACAGAACAGTACATCTCTCTTCCTTTTTTTTGCGGTCAGTTTACTTCGCATTTGCGAGAAATCAAGAAAGCTCCCAATGAGGGGTTTGGTGCGCAGCGGTCTTTGGAGCACCGCCTTTGTCATCTCCTTCACCTCCGTCCTCTCGTTATTATCAAATTCGCTTCAAAGTAGCGAGATCGGGTACGACATCCCGGATACCGCCACGCTCAACGTGAATCCGATAGTGAGCCCTTCGTTACAAGATGTGAATCTTCAGCCGCGACCGGCGGGCTTGCAACGCAGTAGCGTGTCAGCTTCAAGCGGGGATGCTTTTCTGAGATCGGATCTGCACTCAGCAAGCAATGTGCGGACGCAGGAGGAGTTTTCACAGCAGTTTCCTTCTGAGAACTCCCAGGGTCCGAAGCCGCGAATCACTGGAAAATCTGAAGATCCGCAGCCGTTGATTCCTGGGAATGCGCAAGATCCAACGCAGAGGCTGCTTCACGGGATCGATGTGGTCGAGATGGAGGCTGAGGAAGATGAGACAATCGTAAAGAGGGAATCCATGGAAGATGGAATCAGGAAAGAGGTAGCAGCATCTGACCGGAGGTCTCTTTCATCAACTTCGTATTTATCCGGAAATTCGAATTTCGGGGAGGGGAACGTGAATGTTCTACAATCGAATGTTCCCGTAGCGGAGAATTTGGTGTCCGACAGGAGAATATGCGGAGAGGGGCCGTTGAAGGTGTTTGTGTACGATCTGCATCAGAAGTTCAATTTCGGGCTGTTTCGACATAAGGAGCTCGAGAGCTTGCCTTTTAGCGCTGATGAAGCTCCTCAGCTGCGGTATCAGCGGAAGGCGAATGGAGGGGTGTCCGGACGAGGTTTCGAACACAGCGGCGAATATTTCATCGTCTTCAACCTACTGGTAAGCATACACTGAGTTTTTTAATGAGTTGACTCAGAAGTCATCCTCAGCTGCGGTATCAGAGGAAGGCGAACGGAGGGGTGTCTGGACGGGGCTTCGAACATAGCGGCGAATATTTCATCGTTTATAACCTACTGGTGAGTGTACATTGCGACATTCTTCCGCCCTCCCCTTCCACCTTCTCCCCCTCACCCCCCCCACCGGTTCCCCTGGATTCGAACACAGCGGCGAATATTTCATCGTTCATAACCTACTGGTGAGTGTACATGCCGTATCCCTCCTCTCTACACCCCCCCGTCCCCAAATCCCCACCTCACATCTCCCCCCAACCCCCCTACCTTCCCCCCTACACCCCTCCTTTCTCTTCCCGTGACCTTGCTCTCTACTCCCACGCCCCGATCTTCCCTCCCCCGCTTCCCTTCTTCCCCTCCCTTGCCCTTTCGCCATCCCTGTTCGAATTCTCTATCGCGTACAACCTACTGTAAGACTTTTGAGACGTCTCAAAAGGCCCCCCCCTTCCCTTCCGCCCCTCCCTTGCCCTTTCGCCATCCCTGTTCGAATTCTCTATCGCGTACAACCTACTGTAAGCATACCCTGCCGGATTCCCCTTACCCAACCCCCCTTCGACACCAGCAGGAATCATGGCGACATGATAAGAGTAACGGGTCCCGCTGCAGCGGTACATGTGTTCTTCCCCCCAGCTAACCCCACATGTGCCCCCTGGACTTCCTCATTGCCTCCCTGTGCTCCCCTGTGCGTCCTTCTGCTCCCCTGTGCGTCCTTCTGCTCCCCTGTGCTTCCCCCCTGCTAACCCCACATGTGTCCCCTGTGCTTCCGCATTGCTTCCCTGTGCTCCCCTGTGCTCCCCTTCCCCGTGCTTCCCTTCCCCGTGCTTCCTCCTGAGCAGGCGAACAGCCACAGCGACAGCAGTAGGAGCATCGGCGACATTGTAAGAGTAACGGATCCCGCTGCAGCGGGACATGCGTTCTTCCCCCCTGCTAACCCCACATGTGTCCCCTGTACTCCCTCATTGCCTCCCTGTGCTCCCCTGTGCTTCCCCTCCCTGTGCGTCCTTCTGCTCCCCTGCGCTTCCCCCCTTGCTAACCCCACATGTGTCCCCTGTGCTTCCGCATTTCCTCCCTGTGCTTCTTTTTGAGCAGGCGAACAACCATACTGACAGCAGCAGGAGCAACGGCGACATCATAAGAGTAACGGATCCCGCTGCAGCGAATGTGTTCTTCATGCCCTGCTAACCCAACTGCGTGCTCTGTGCTTCCCTCTGCTGCCCCTTGCTCCTGAGCAGGCAAACAACCATACTGACAGCAGCAAGAGCAACGGCGACATTATAAGAGTAACGGATCCCGCTGCAGCGGATGTGTTCTTCGTGCCCTTCCTGGCGTCGCTCAGCTTCAACATCTTCACCACCAATGGCATGCGAGGCGCGCTGGCGGAAAAAGACAAGATCCTCCAGGTGCGTTGAATAAGGTTCGGTAGGTGTGTTTGGCTGGGCTATGTATTATTCTCTTGCTACTGACTTGGATTTTCTCGGCCTCAACATCTTCACCACCAATGGCATGAGGGCGCTCGCGGAAAATAGGAAAATCCTGCAGTTGCGTTGGGCAAGTCTTGGTAGGTGGAGCGTGAGGCGTGCTGTGCTGAGCTTGGGATTTGCGGCGGTGGCAGCGGTCGGGATGCAGGGAAGAGACTCACATTGTCGTGGTTTTGAGACGTCTCAAAAATATATTACTATCACGCAGAGCGTGGGGCGTGCTGGAGCTTGGGATTTGCGGCAGTGGCAGCGGTCGGGATGCAGGGAAGAGACTCACATCGTCTTCATGCTGTCATGCTGTCATGCTGTCATGCTGCCATGCTGCCATGCTGCCATGCTGCCATGCTGTCATGCTGCCATGCTGCCATGCTGCCATGCTGCCATGAGAAACGTTGCCAACGCTTCCCTGTGACGCCGTCCTTCCTCTCTCATCGCTTTCGTCCCTCTCTGCAGGAGGAGCTGTGCGGCGTGTTAAAGGAATCCCCCTGGTGGCAGCGCTCGGGCAGCAGGGACCACATCATCCCATGCTGCAAGAGGCCCAGCGCTGCTGCTGTTGCATGCATAATACATCCCCACCTCGCTGTCACTCCTCTGTTTTGTGCCGCCCTTCCCTCTCTACAGGAGGAGCTGTGGAGCGTGTTGAAGGAATCCTCCTGGTGGCAGCGGTCGGGCAGCAGGGATCACATCATCCCATGCTGCAGCCCAACGCCCTTAACCGCTGCTGTCGTATACATCATACATCCCCATCACACTGTCACTCCTCTGCCACTCCTCTGCGTTAGGAGGAGCTGTGGGGTGTGCTCAAAGAGTCCCCCTGGTGGCAGCGGTTGGGAGGCAGGGATCACATCATCCCCATGCTGCAAGAAGCCCAACGCTGCTGCTGCTGTCATACGCGCAGTACATCCCTCCTCACTGTCACTCCACTGTCCCTCCGTTGTCATTCGTCCCTAACAGGAGGAGCTGTGGAGTGTGCTCAAGGAATCCCCCTGGTGGCAGCGGTCGGGAGGCAGGGATCACATCATCCCCATGCTGAAGCCCAACGCTGCTGCTGTTGCACGCGTTCTCACTTTCGACTGCTGTGTTTCCGTCTGTCTCTGTTCGACAGGAGGAGCTGTGGAGCGTGCTCAAGGAGTCCCCATGGTGGCAGCGGTCGGGCGGCAGGGATCACATCATCCCCATGCTGCAGCCCAATGCTCTTCGCCACATTCGCCAGCGCCTCGCCCCGGCCATGTTCCTGCTGCTCGACTTCGGCCGGTGGGTTTGATTGATGTTTTCTCTTTTGAGATTGAGTCATAGTTCACCTTGATTGAGTCTGCACTCTTGACGCGCTATTTTCGCCAGCGCCTCGCCTCGGCCATGTTCCTGCTGCTCGACTTCGGCCTGTGCGCACCTCCAATGTGTTCCCCATGAGGTGGTTGGTTCTTGAGTCCCTCGCCCTGACCATGTTTTTCCTGCTCGACTTTCGCCCGTGGGTTGATTGGGTCGCTCGCTCGGGTCAGGGCCGAATGTTTTTTGAACTGGGAGGAGGCAGGGATCACATCATCCCCATCCTTCAGCCCAACGCCCTTCTCCACATTCGCCAGCGCCTCGCCCCGGCCATGTTCCTCCTACTCGACTTCGGCCGGTGGGTTTGATTAATGCCTTCTCTTTTGAGATTGAGTCATAGTTCACCTTGATTGAGTCTGCACTCTTGACGCGTTATATTCGCCAGCGCCTCGCCTCGGCCATGCTCCTGCTGCTCGACTTTGGCCGGTGCGTCTCACTGCTGTTGGCTCTGATGCTTTCTTCGCTTTGAGTCAAAATTCTGATCGCATGTACTCTTGAGGCGCCACATTCACCAGCGCCTCGCCTCGGCCATGTTCCTTCTACTCGACTTTGGCCGGTGAGTTGCTTTGGTCTGCTCAGTAGGGTCTGAGTTAGGAGTCACTTCGAGTCTGCATGTACCTCTTGAGGAAGGGATCACATTATCCCCATGCTGCAGCCCAACGCCCTTCGCCACATCCGCCAGCGCCTCGCTCCGGCCATGTTCCTGCTGCTCGACTTCGGCCGGTGCGTCCCTTTACTGTCTCCTCCTTCAAGTCTCACTGGGTCGTTCTCTTGGGTCAGACAAAGTCAGAAGTGTGTTCTGCTGAGTCACTCGGGAGGCAGGGATCACATCATCCCCATGCTGCAGCCCAACGCGCTTCGCCACATTCGCCAGCGCCTCGCCCCGGCCATGTTCCTGCTGCTCGACCTCGGCCGGTGCGTCCCTTTACTGTCTCCTCCTTCAAGTCTCACTGGGTCGTTCCCTTGGGTCAGACAAAGTCAGAAGTGTGTTCTGCTGAGTCACTCGGGAGGCAGGGATCACATCATCCCCATGCTGCAGCCCAACGCCCTTCGCCACATCCGCCAGCGCCTCGCTCCGGCCATGTTCCTGCTGCTCGACTTCGGCCGGTGCGTCCCTTTACTGTCTCCTCCTTCAAGTCTCACTGGGTCGTTCCCTTGGGTCAGACAAAGTCAGAAGTGTGTTCTGCTGAGTCACTCGGGAGGCAGGGATCACATCATCCCCATGCTGCAGCCCAACGCGCTTCGCCACATTCGCCAGCGCCTCGCCCCGGCCATGTTCCTGCTGCTCGACTTCGGCCGGTGCGTCCCTTTACTGTCTCCTCCTTCAAGTCTCACTGTGTCGTTCCCTTGGGTCAGACAAAGTCAGAAGTGTGTTCTGCTGAGTCACTCGGGAGGCAGGGATCACATCATCCCCATGCTGCAGCCCAACGCCCTTCGCCACATCCGCCAGCGCCTCGCTCCGGCCATGTTCCTGCTGCTCGACTTCGGCCGGTGCGTCCCTTTACTGTCTCCTCCTTCAAGTCTCACTGGGTCGTTCCCTTGGGTCAGACAAAGTCAGAAGTGTGTTCTGCTGAGTCACTCGGGAGGCAGGGATCACATCATCCCCATGCTGCAGCCCAACGCGCTTCGCCACATTCGCCAGCGCCTCGCTCCGGCCATGTTCCTGCTGCTCGACTTCGGCCGGTGCGTCCCTTTACTGTCTCCTCCTTCAAGTCTCACTGGATCGTTCCCTTGGGTCAGACAAAGTCAGAAGTGTGTTCTGCTGAGTCACTCGGGAGGCAGGGATCACATCATCCCCATGCTGCAGCCCAACGCGCTTCGCCACATCCGCCAGCGCCTCGCCCCGGCCATGTTCCTGCTGCTCGACTTCGGCCGGTGCGTCCCTTTACTGTCTCCTCCTTCAAGTCTCACTGGGTCGTTCCCTTGGGTCAGACAAAGTCAGAAGTGTGTTCTGCTGAGTCACTCGGGAGGCAGGGATCACATCATCCCCATGCTGCAGCCCAACGCCCTTCGCCACATCCGCCAGCGCCTCGCTCCGGCCATGTTCCTGCTGCTCGACTTCGGCCGGTGCGTCCCTTTACTGTCTCCTCCTTCAAGTCTCACTGGGTCGTTCCCTTGGGTCAGACAAAGTCAGAAGTGTGTTCTGCTGAGTCACTCGGGAGGCAGGGATCTCATCATCCCCATGCTGCAGCCCAACGCGCTTCGCCACATTCGCCAGCGCCTCGCTCCGGCCATGTTCCTGCTGCTCGACTTCGGCCGGTGCGTCCCTTTACTGTCTCCTCCTTCAAGTCTCACTGGGTCGTTCCCTTGGGTCAGACAAAGTCAGAAGTGTGTTCTGCTGAGTCACTCGGGAGGCAGGGATCACATCATCCCCATGCTGCAGCCCAACGCCCTTCGCCACATCCGCCAGCGCCTCGCTCCGGCCATGTTCCTGCTGCTCGACTTCGGCCGGTGCGTCCCTTTACTGTCTCCTCCTTCAAGTCTCACTGGGTCGTTCCCTTGGGTCAGACAAAGTCAGAAGTGTGTTCTGCTGAGTCACTCGGGAGGCAGGGATCTCATCATCCCCATGCTGCAGCCCAACGCGCTTCGCCACATTCGCCAGCGCCTCGCTCCGGCCATGTTCCTGCTGCTCGACTTCGGCCGGTGCGTCCCTTTACTGTCTCCTCCTTCAAGTCTCACTGGGTCGTTCCCTTGGGTCAGACAAAGTCAGAAGTGTGTTCTGCTGAGTCACTCGGGAGGCAGGGATCACATCATCCCCATGCTGCAGCCCAACGCGCTTCGCCACATTCGCCAGCGCCTCGCCCCGGCCATGTTCCTGCTGCTCGACTTTGGCCGGTATATACCATGTTGTGGCCCGTCTGAGCAAGGAAACATATTTCTCTAATGCAGATACGCCCAAGGTGTGGCGCGGTTGAGCAAGGACATAGTGGTCCCGTACAACCACATAGCACCGCCTTACTTAGAGTGTGCATTCCCCTACCATACCTTTCCCCCCAACCCAATGCAGGTGCGCCCAAGGCGTGGCCTGGCTGAGCAAGGACATAGTGGTCCCGTACAACCATATAGCACCGCCTTACACGGAGCCTGCGTTCTCTTGTGCTGCCACACAAACCCATTCCCCCAATGCAGGTACGCCCAAGGCGTAGCCCGTTTAAGCAAGGACATAGTGGTCCCCTACAACCACATAGCACCGCCTTACACAGAGTTTGGAACCCTCCTTCCCTTGGTTCTTTTCTGCCCGCCCGCTTACCAGATACGCCCAAGGAGTAGCCCGGCTGAGCAAGGACATAGTGGTCCCCTACAACCACATAGCGCCGCCTTACACGGAGCCTGCGAGCTATGGGGAGGCGCAGGGGCCATGGGAGGCGCGAACCACACTGCTGTTCTTCCAAGGGACCATCATGCGGAAGGATGTGAGTGTGAGGGCGGTGAGAGGGAGCATGTTGAATGGGGCTGTATGGATGGGGAAAGGGTGTGGCATAGGAAGAGTTTGCGAGGTATGGGGAGGCGCGAACGACGCTGCTGTTCTTCCAAGGGACCATCATGAGGAAGGATGTGAGTGTAACGGGAGGATGGGTGGGTGGGAGAGTAACTGATTGCAGAAACACATTGGGTACACATGTGGGTCGACAATGGGTAACATCACCTCGTGCATAGAGATTGACGTCAATATTCTCCTTGATTCTGTCTCACCTGCTCTCACCTGCTCTCACCTGCTCTCACCTGGTTTCATGTTTGGGAATGGCAATGGATCATGGCGTGATATGGCATGGCATTCTGTGGATACTCATGGCTACGGTATGGCATGGCATGGGATGCCATGGCATGTGTTACTTTTGTTTCCCCTGCATGGCATGGTGTGTTGCATTTCTTCCTGGCACGGCTTGTCATGGCATGGCATGGTGTGTTGCTTTTTTATTACGGCATGGCATGGTGTGTTGCATTTCTTCCTGGAATGGTGTGTTGCATTTCTTCCTGGCATGGTGTGTTGCATTTCTTCCTGGCATGGTGTGTTGCATTTCTTCCTGGCATGGTGTGTTGCATTTCTTCCTGGTATGGCACGAGCAGGAGGGGTACATCCGCAAGCTCATCTTTGACATGTATCACAAGGAGCCGGACGTGAGGTTCGTTGAGAGCAAGATCACCGGTCCGCAAGACATCATCTCGGTATGGCTACCACATGCTGTGGTGTGGCATGGTGTAGTGTGGTACAGTGCGGTACGGCACGGTACGGTGCGGTATGGTATGGTATGGGGCTCGAGCAGGAGGGGTACATCCACAAACTCATCTTTCACATGTATCACAAGGAGCCGGACGTGAGGTTCGTTGAGAGCAAGATCACCGGTCCACAAGACATCATCTCGGTATGGCTGCTGCATGGTGTGGTGCAGAGTGGTGTGGTAAGGTACAGTGCGGGTGTTTGACACCATTGCCAGCAACTGCTATCTCAACCGAACCCAACATCCACCCTCCCATCATCCACCCTCCCATCATCCACCCTCCCCACCACCAGGCAGCAGAGGGGCTAATGAAGGCTCGCTTCTGTCTGAACGCGGCGGGAGACGCCCCTTCGTCCGTATTCTTTCCTTACCTCCACTCTTTCCCTCCTTCCCGCCTTCCCTCTCCCTCCCCACCACCGCCTTCCCTCTTTCCCTCCTTCCCGCTTCTGTCTGAACGCGGCGGGAGACACGCCTTTGTCCGCCCGCCTCCTTGACGCCATCACCAGCCACTGCTTGCCCGTGCTGACCCTCTCTTCCCTCTCCTTAACTCTTCACAGGCAGAGGAGCGGCTGAGGAAATCCCGCTTCTGTCTCAACGCGGCGGGAGGCACCCCTTCATCCGCCCGCCTCTTTGACGCCATCGTCAGCCACTGCGTGCCGGTTCTCACTCCCTCCCTCCTTCCTTCCTCCCTTCCCTCCTTCCTTCCTTCCTTCCCTCCTTCCCTCCTTCCAGCCCTCTTCTCTACTCTCCCAGCCACCACCAGGCAGCAGAGGGTCTCAGAAATTCCTGCTTCTGTCTCAACGCGGTGGGGGACACCCCTTCGTCTGCTCGCCTCTTTGATGCCATCACCAGCCACTGCGTGCCAGTGGTCACTCCCTCTCTCCCTCCTTCCCTCTCCCCACCACCACCAGGCAGTAGAGGGTCTCAGGAAGTCGCGCCTCTTTGATGCCATCACCAGCCACTGCGTGGGCGTGCTCACTCCCTTTCTTATTTCCTCCTTTCCTCCTCCTCCTCCTCTCCCCGCCCTCCCTCCCTCACAGGCAGCAGAGGGGCTCAGAAACTCGCGCTTCTGTCTGAACGCAGCGGGAGACACGCCTTCGTCCGCCCGCCTCTTTGATGCCATCACCAGCCACTGCGTGCCCATGCGCACTCCCTCTCTCCCTCCTTCCCTCTCCCCTCCACCACCAGGCAGTAGAGGGTCTCAGGAAGTTGCGCCTCTTTGATGCCATCACCAGCCACTGCGTGTCCATGCTCACTCCCTTTCTTATTTCTTCCTTCCCTCTGTCCCTTCTTCCTCTCCCCTCCCTCCCTCACTCACAGGCAGCAGAGGGTCTCAGAAATTCCCGCTTCTGCCTGAATGCAGCGGGGGACACCCCTTCTTCTGCTCGCCTCTTTGACGCCATCACAAGCCACTGCGTGCCCGTGCTCACTCCCTCCTCTTCTCCACTTCTTTCCTTCCCTCCATCCTTCCCTCCCCTCTCTCCGTTCCCCCCCTTCACAGGCAGCAGAGGGGCTGCAAAACTCGCGCTTCTGTCTGAATGCAGCGGGGGACACCCCTTCGTCTGCTCGCCTCTTTGACGCCATCGTCAGCCACTGCGTGCCCGTGGTGATCAGCAACAAGATCGAGCTGCCCTTTGAGACGTCCATTGATTATTCCGACTTCACGCTCTTTGTCTCCCATGAGGTGAGTTTAATCATGCCTCGAAACTATGAGAGGTGAGGTGACATCTTTCAGTATAACGCCTTGTGTGTGTGAGAGGTGAGGTGCGTGCCATCGTCACTCACTGCGTGCCCGTGGTCATCAGCAACAAGATCGAGCTGCCCTTTGAGACGTCGATACACTAGTCTGACTTCACTCTCTTTGTCTCTCATGAGGTGAGTCCCATGCCCCAAACCTAGTTGTGTGTCGGTGTGAAAGACCATGTGTAGGTGGCACGAAGTGAGTGCCATGGCCAGCCACTCACTGCGTGCCCATGGTGATCAGCAGCAAGATCGAGCTGCCCTTTGAGACGTCCATAGATTATTCCGACTTCACGCTCTTTGTCTCCCATGAGGTGAGTTGCTCTCTGTGTGACTTGGGTGTTACCCGGGTGTGTCTCGAGAGGTGAGTGCCAATCGGTCTCATCGCCATTGCCATTGCCAGCCACTCACTGCGTGCCCGTGGTGATCAGCAGCAAGATCGAGCTGCCCACTGAGACGTCCATAGACTACTCGGACTTCACTCTCTTTGTCTCTCATGAGGTGAGGCCCGTGCCCCAAACCTAGTTGTGTGTTTGTGTGAAAGACCGAGTGTAGGTGGCACGAGGTGAGTCCCGTGCCCCAAACCTAGTTGTGTGTTTGTGTGAAAGACCGAGTGTAGGTGGCACGAGGTGAGTCCCGTGCCCCAAACCTAGTTGTGTGTTTGTGTGAAAGACCGAGTGTAGGTGGCACGAGGTGAGTCCCGTGCCCCAAACCTAGTTGTGTGTTTGTGTGAAAGACCGAGTGTAGGTGGCACGAGGTGAGTCCCGTGCCCCAAACCTAGTTGTGTGTTTGTGTGAAAGACCGAGTGTAGGTGGCACGAGGTGAGTCCCGTGCCCCAAACCTAGTTGTGTGTTTGTGTGAAAGACCGAGTGTAGGTGGCACGAGGTGAGTCCCGTGCCCCAAACCTAGTTGTGTGTTTGTGTGAAAGACCGAGTGTAGGTGGCACGAGGTGAGTCCCGTGCCCCAAACCTAGTTGTGTGTTTGTGTGAAAGACCGAGTGTAGGTGGCACGAGGTGAGTCCCGTGCCCCAAACCTAGTTGTGTGTTTGTGTGAAAGACCGAGTGTAGGTGGCACGAGGTGAGTCCCGTGCCCCAAACCTAGTTGTGTGTTTGTGTGAAAGACCGAGTGTAGGTGGCACGAGGTGAGTCCCGTGCCCCAAACCTAGTTGTGTGTTTGTGTGAAAGACCGAGTGTAGGTGGCACGAGGTGAGTCCCGTGCCCCAAACCTAGTTGTGTGTTTGTGTGAAAGACCGAGTGTAGGTGGCACGAGGTGAGTCCCGTGCCCCAAACCTAGTTGTGTGTTTGTGTGAAAGACCGAGTGTAGGTGGCACGAGGTGAGTCCCGTGCCCCAAACCTAGTTGTGTGTTTGTGTGAAAGACCGAGTGTAGGTGGCACGAGGTGAGTCCCGTGCCCCAAACCTAGTTGTGTGTTTGTGTGAAAGACCGAGTGTAGGTGGCACGAGGTGAGTCTCGTGCCCCAAACCTAGTTGTGTGTTTGTGTGAAAGACCGAGTGTAGGTGGCACGAGGTGAGTCCCGTGCCCCAAACCTAGTTGTGTGTTTGTGTGAAAGACCGAGTGTAGGTGGCACGAGGTGAGTCCCGTGCCCCAAACCTAGTTGTGTGTTTGTGTGAAAGACCGAGTGTAGGTGGCACGAGGTGAGTCCCGTGCCCCAAACCTAGTTGTGTGTTTGTGTGAAAGACCGAGTGTAGGTGGCACGAGGTGAGTCCCGTGCCCCAAACCTAGTTGTGTGTTTGTGTGAAAGACCGAGTGTAGGTGGCACGAGGTGAGTCTCGTGCCCCAAACCTAGTTGTGTGTTTGTGTGAAAGACCGAGTGTAGGTGGCACGAGGTGAGTCCCGTGCCCCAAACCTAGTTGTGTGTTTGTGTGAAAGACCGAGTGTAGGTGGCACGAGGTGAGTCCCGTGCCCCAAACCTAGTTGTGTGTTTGTGTGAAAGACCGAGTGTAGGTGGCACGAGGTGAGTCCCGTGCCCCAAACCTAGTTGTGTGTTTGTGTGAAAGACCGAGTGTAGGTGGCACGAGGTGAGTCCCGTGCCCCAAACCTAGTTGTGTGTTTGTGTGAAAGACCGAGTGTAGGTGGCACGAGGTGAGTCCCGTGCCCCAAACCTAGTTGTGTGTTTGTGTGAAAGACCGAGTGTAGGTGGCACGAGGTGAGTCCCGTGCCCCAAACCTAGTTGTGTGTTTGTGTGAAAGACCGAGTGTAGGTGGCACGAGGTGAGTCCCGTGCCCCAAACCTAGTTGTGTGTTTGTGTGAAAGACCGAGTGTAGGTGGCACGAGGTGAGTCCCGTGCCCCAAACCTAGTTGTGTGTTTGTGTGAAAGACCGAGTGTAGGTGGCACGAGGTGAGTCCCGTGCCCCAAACCTAGTTGTGTGTTTGTGTGAAAGACCGAGTGTAGGTGGCACGAGGTGAGTCCCGTGCCCCAAACCTAGTTGTGTGTTTGTGTGAAAGACCGAGTGTAGGTGGCACGAGGTGAGTCCCGTGCCCCAAACCTAGTTGTGTGTTTGTGTGAAAGACCGAGTGTAGGTGGCACGAGGTGAGTCCCGTGCCCCAAACCTAGTTGTGTGTCTGTGTGAAAGACCGAGTGTAGGTGGCACGAGGTGAGTCCCGTGCCCCAAACCTAGTTGTGTGTCTGTGTGAAAGACCGAGTGTAGGTGGCACGAGGTGAGTCCCGTGCCCCAAACCTAGTTGTGTGTTTGTGTGAAAGACCGAGTGTAGGTGGCACGAGGTGAGTCCCGTGCCCCAAACCTAGTTGTGTGTTTGTGTGAAAGACCGAGTGTAGGTGGCACGAGGTGAGTCCCGTGCCCCAAACCTAGTTGTGTGTCTGTGTGAAAGACCGAGTGTAGGTGGCACGAGGTGAGTCCCGTGCCCCAAACCTAGTTGTGTGTCTGTGTGAAAGACCGAGTGTAGGTGGCACGAGGTGAGTCCCGTGCCCCAAACCTAGTTGTGTGTTTGTGTGAAAGACCGAGTGTAGGTGGCACGAGGTGAGTCCCGTGCCCCAAACCTAGTTGTGTGTTTGTGTGAAAGACCGAGTGTAGGTGGCACGAGGTGAGTCCCGTGCCCCAAACCTAGTTGTGTGTTTGTGTGAAAGACCGAGTGTAGGTGGCACGAGGTGAGTCCCGTGCCCCAAACCTAGTTGTGTGTTTGTGTGAAAGACCGAGTGTAGGTGGCACGAGGTGAGTCCCGTGCCCCAAACCTAGTTGTGTGTTTGTGTGAAAGACCGAGTGTAGGTGGCACGAGGTGAGTCCCGTGCCCCAAACCTAGTTGTGTGTTTGTGTGAAAGACCGAGTGTAGGTGGCACGAGGTGAGTCCCGTGCCCCAAACCTAGTTGTGTGTTTGTGTGAAAGACCGAGTGTAGGTGGCACGAGGTGAGTCCCGTGCCCCAAACCTAGTTGTGTGTTTGTGTGAAAGACCGAGTGTAGGTGGCACGAGGTGAGTCTCGTGCCCCAAACCTAGTTGTGTGTTTGTGTGAAAGACCGAGTGTAGGTGGCACGAGGTGAGTCCCGTGCCCCAAACCTAGTTGTGTGTTTGTGTGAAAGACCGAGTGTAGGTGGCACGAGGTGAGTCCCGTGCCCCAAACCTAGTTGTGTGTTTGTGTGAAAGACCGAGTGTAGGTGGCACGAGGTGAGTCCCGTGCCCCAAACCTAGTTGTGTGTTTGTGTGAAAGACCGAGTGTAGGTGGCACGAGGTGAGTCCCGTGCCCCAAACCTAGTTGTGTGTTTGTGTGAAAGACCGAGTGTAGGTGGCACGAGGTGAGTCTCGTGCCCCAAACCTAGTTGTGTGTTTGTGTGAAAGACCGAGTGTAGGTGGCACGAGGTGAGTCCCGTGCCCCAAACCTAGTTGTGTGTTTGTGTGAAAGACCGAGTGTAGGTGGCACGAGGTGAGTCCCGTGCCCCAAACCTAGTTGTGTGTTTGTGTGAAAGACCGAGTGTAGGTGGCACGAGGTGAGTCCCGTGCCCCAAACCTAGTTGTGTGTTTGTGTGAAAGACCGAGTGTAGGTGGCACGAGGTGAGTCCCGTGCCCCAAACCTAGTTGTGTGTTTGTGTGAAAGACCGAGTGTAGGTGGCACGAGGTGAGTCCCGTGCCCCAAACCTAGTTGTGTGTTTGTGTGAAAGACCGAGTGTAGGTGGCACGAGGTGAGTCGCGTGCCCCAAACCTAGTTGTGTGTTTGTGTGAAAGACCGAGTGTAGGTGGCACGAGGTGAGTCCCGTGCCCCAAACCTAGTTGTGTGTTTGTGTGAAAGACCGAGTGTAGGTGGCACGAGGTGAGTCCCGTGCCCCAAACCTAGTTGTGTGTTTGTGTGAAAGACCGAGTGTAGGTGGCACGAGGTGAGTCCCGTGCCCCAAACCTAGTTGTGTGTTTGTGTGAAAGACCGAGTGTAGGTGGCACGAGGTGAGTCCCGTGCCCCAAACCTAGTTGTGTGTTTGTGTGAAAGACCGAGTGTAGGTGGCACGAGGTGAGTCCCGTGCCCCAAACCTAGTTGTGTGTTTGTGTGAAAGACCGAGTGTAGGTGGCACGAGGTGAGTCCCGTGCCCCAAACCTAGTTGTGTGTCTGTGTGAAAGACCGAGTGTAGGTGGCACGAGGTGAGTCCCGTGCCCCAAACCTAGTTGTGTGTTTGTGTGAAAGACCGAGTGTAGGTGGCACGAGGTGAGTCCCGTGCCCCAAACCTAGTTGTGTGTTTGTGTGAAAGACCGAGTGTAGGTGGCACGAGGTGAGTCCCGTGCCCCAAACCTAGTTGTGTGTTTGTGTGAAAGACCGAGTGTAGGTGGCACGAGGTGAGTCTCGTGCCCCAAACCTAGTTGTGTGTTTGTGTGAAAGACCGAGTGTAGGTGGCACGAGGTGAGTCCCGTGCCCCAAACCTAGTTGTGTGTTTGTGTGAAAGACCGAGTGTAGGTGGCACGAGGTGAGTCCCGTGCCCCAAACCTAGTTGTGTGTTTGTGTGAAAGACCGAGTGTAGGTGGCACGAGGTGAGTCCCGTGCCCCAAACCTAGTTGTGTGTTTGTGTGAAAGACCGAGTGTAGGTGGCACGAGGTGAGTCCCGTGCCCCAAACCTAGTTGTGTGTTTGTGTGAAAGACCGAGTGTAGGTGGCACGAGGTGAGTCTCGTGCCCCAAACCTAGTTGTGTGTTTGTGTGAAAGACCGAGTGTAGGTGGCACGAGGTGAGTCCCGTGCCCCAAACCTAGTTGTGTGTTTGTGTGAAAGACCGAGTGTAGGTGGCACGAGGTGAGTCCCGTGCCCCAAACCTAGTTGTGTGTTTGTGTGAAAGACCGAGTGTAGGTGGCACGAGGTGAGTCGCGTGCCCCAAACCTAGTTGTGTGTTTGTGTGAAAGACCGAGTGTAGGTGGCACGAGGTGAGTCCCGTGCCCCAAACCTAGTTGTGTGTTTGTGTGAAAGACCGAGTGTAGGTGGCACGAGGTGAGTCCCGTGCCCCAAACCTAGTTGTGTGTTTGTGTGAAAGACCGAGTGTAGGTGGCACGAGGTGAGTCCCGTGCCCCAAACCTAGTTGTGTGTTTGTGTGAAAGACCGAGTGTAGGTGGCACGAGGTGAGTCCCGTGCCCCAAACCTAGTTGTGTGTTTGTGTGAAAGACCGAGTGTAGGTGGCACGAGGTGAGTCCCGTGCCCCAAACCTAGTTGTGTGTTTGTGTGAAAGACCGAGTGTAGGTGGCACGAGGTGAGTCCCGTGCCCCAAACCTAGTTGTGTGTTTGTGTGAAAGACCGAGTGTAGGTGGCACAAGGTGAGTCCCGTGCCCCAAACCTAGTTGTGTGTTTGTGTGAAAGACCGAGTGTAGGTGGCACGAGGTGAGTCCCGTGCCCCAAACCTAGTTGTGTGTTTGTGTGAAAGACCGAGTTGTACATCCGACCCCTATCCTCCCCTTACCCTCTCCCCACCTACCTTCCCCCAGGACGCCCTGCGCCAGGGCTACCTGCTGCGCCTGCTGCGCTCATTCCCCAGGGCTGTGTCTTACCTCCTGTTTGTCATCGTATTCCACCGCCCCCCTCTACTCTCTTTCCCCCAGGACACCCTGCGCCAGGGCTACCTGCCGCACCTGCTGCGCGCATTCCCCAATCCTCTCCTTCCCTCTATGCATCATCTGTGCATCATCTATGCATCATCTATGCATCCACCCCACCTATTCCCCTCCTCCCTCTCCGCCTACCCACCACCCCCAGGACGCCCTGCGCCAGGGCTACCTGCTGTCCGCATTCCATGAGCCACTCCTTACCCCCTTGCCCCCTTGCTCTCTGTACCCCCTTCCCCCCTCTCAGGACGCCCTGCGCCAGGGCTACCTGCTGCGCCTGCTGCGCGCATTCCCCAATGCTGTCCCTGCGCGCATTCCCCAATGCTGTCCCTGCGCGCATTCCCCAATGCTGTCCCTGCGCGCATTCCCCAATGCTGTCCCTGCGCGCATTCCCCAATGCTGTCCCTGCGCGCATTCCCCGATGCTGTCCCTGCGCGCATTCCCCGATGCTGTCCCTGCGCGCATTCCCCGATGCTGTCCCTGCGCGCATTCCCCGATGCTGTCCCTGCGCGCATTCCCCGATGCTGTCCCTGCGCGCATTCCCCGATGCTGTCCCTGCGCGCATTCCCCAATGCTGTCCCTGCGCGCATTCCCCAATGCTGTCCCTGCGCGCATTCCCCAATGCTGTCCCTGCGCGCATTCCCCAATGCTGTCCCTGCGCGCATTCCCCAATGCTGTCCCTGCGCGCATTCCCCAATGCTGTCCCTGCGCGCAATCCCCAATGCTGTCCCTGCGCGCAATCCCCAATGCTGTCCCTGCGCGCATTCCCCGATGCTGTCCCTGCGCGCATTCCCCGATGCTGTCCCTGCGCGCATTCCCCGATGCTGTCCCTGCGCGCATTCCCCAATGCTGTCCCTGCGCGCATTCCCCAATGCTGTCCCTGCGCGCATTCCCCAATGCTGTCCCTGCACGCATTCCCCAATGCTGTCCCTGCGCGCATCCCCCACTCCCCCCACTCTCCCCTCCCCCAGGACGCCCTGCGCCAGGGCTACCTGCTGCGCCTGCTGCGCGCATTCCCCAGGGAGAGGTGGCTGCGCATGTGGCAGAACCTGCAGCACGTGAAGCACCACTTTGAATTCCAGGTGTGTAATGAAGTCCCCTGAAACACTTGTGTAGGCTGGTATTCTTCTGGTAGCGTGCTCACTCATTCCCCAGGGAGAGGTGGCTTCGCATGTGGCAGACCCTGCAGCGAGTGAAGCACCACTTTGAGTTCCAGGTGCGTCATGAAGTCCCCTGAAACACTTGTGTAGGCTGGTAGACTCGTATCCCTCAGGTAGACGTGCTTGCTCATTCCCCAGGGAGAGGTGGCTGCGCATGTGGCAGAACCTGCAGCGCGTGAAGCGCCATTTCAAGTTCCAGGTGGGGTTTCAGGTGGTGTTCCAAAACAACCGTTTCCCACCCCTCCTCTATTCCCCCTTCCCCCCCTCCCCCCTTCCCCCCTACCTCTCGCTCCAACGCCATCTCATTCCACAGTACCCATCGCAACCAGGTGACGCAGTCAGCATGGTGTGGAGGGAAATCCGCAAGAAGCTTCCTCGCGTGCGGTTGGCAATCCACCGGGGGAAGCGGCTAGTGGTGCGCGATTGGACCAATGTGTGAACTTTATGGGATAGCCCCTATAAGGGGTAGGTAAACCCGACAATTGTAGAATGTGTAGTGTAGAAAGACATGTTTTGAAGATAGGGAGATGACATGTTGTGTTGTATGCATGCCTGGACAGACAAAACTCGAGCAAAGCTAGCGTGGGTTACGAAGCATATTGTAGCAATGTCACTAATTCCTAATGGAACGAGTATTGGTGGTTATAGGTACTACTGCCAAGTCTCTGGATTAATGTGGTGGAGTTGTTTGTGTATACCAATGGGTGGGCTGCAAATGCAACAGACTCATGGGCAGCGTATACGTGTCTCAGTCCAATCCAGACCTGAGTTACCGCTCACAATGCAATAGCTCTATCCCCTGAGTTGCATGTTGATATTCAAATTCCGTTGTTGTGTTCTCCTGACGTGTACTGTGCCTTTCCAACCTTTTATCAGGTTTGGCTGTATCATCCATGCTAACGGTATTCTGGTTAGATGCACAATCAAGGCTAAGTTGAGCTGGTACGTGCTGCATAACATCAGTAGAGAAACCCAATGGAACACTGTGTGGTCACTGCTCAACCTCTACCAGTAAAAATTGAAAATTTCATGGATGCGCATTAGCTGACAGTGGTAGTGACAGGGAGAAAAGCGTTCAGTCGCGCCAGCTAGGGGTCGAACCTAGGACTTTTCGCTTAGGAAGCGAACACTCTATCCACTGAGTTACAGGCGCACGTCTCGAATTGGTTCGAGTATTTATTTAACAATTACCTGTGCTATACATTCTTCATTTAGTTTGGCACCATCTAGTGTATGCTTTATCAATTTGACTCCAAAAAGTACAGTTACAGCGCATTGACTGAGTGCCAAGCATGAAAACCAAAAAATGATCAGCTACTGGTATGCAATGCACATCAATGCGTAGTCACCCAGGCTCCCTTGCATGTATGGAGATGGCTTTTAGGGATAAGCCAGAGTTTAGGGTGACCTGACCTGAACCCTTGTCCTCTAGGTCACTCAGAAGTGCCACTTGACTGAGTCGACTCAAAAGTGACAAGTCAACTCAAACGTGGCAATTTAGTAAACTCAGACGTGTTAGTCACCCAGGCTCCCTTGTCTGTATGGAGACGCCTTGCGGGATAAGCCACTACCAGACCCCTTCTCCTCAGGGTCACTCAAAAGCACCACTACCAGACCAGACCCCTTCTCACCCCCTCTCTCACTCCCCTTCTCTCCTGCAGCGCGTTAGTCACCCAGGTTCCCTTGTCTGTATGGAGACGCCTTGCGGGTTAAGCCACTGCCAGACCCCTTCTCACTCCCTCTCTCACTCCCCTTCTCCCCTGCCGCTCCTGTAGCTGCCTCGCCAGGTGTCAGCCCACGAGTGGACGGGGAGCTGCCGTGAATCAAATCTTCCTTCTGCCGGATTAATAACACGGATGAGGGGTGGGGGGTGGGGGGAGGAGGGGCCGAGAGGGAGGATGGTGAAATGTGGTGAAGGAAAAATCTTTCTTGATCGACAAAGCAATAAGCAAACCACATCAAGGTTAGCAGGCCCTGGCATGCAATACGGTACCATGCGTCGGGTTACCAAACCTCGCCTCCAGATCCGGTAAGGAAATACCTTGTCAGCCGTAATACCGTACCTTGTCAGCAGGTATGGCAGTTCGAGCTGGTGTGGAAGCAGGCTCGGCTTTGAGTGACGATTCCACCTTGGGCTTCACGGGCGGGCGGGCAGTGGGGGGGCGACTGCATTGGGGAGAGGGGGGGAATGGGAGAAGGGGGCTTGCTACGTATTGAAGGGACGAACAAGCAGAATTGCAGCAGGTTCGGTTTTGAGTAACGATTCCACCTTCGGCTTGACGGGCGGGCGGGCAGTGGGGGGACGACTGCAAGTGGGAGAGGGGGAAGGAAAGGGGGACGGAAGGGGCTTGTTGAAGGGACGAACAGGCAGGGAGGCAGGCTTTGCTTTGACAGACGATTCCACCTTGGGCTTGCCGGGTGGGCGAGCAGTGGGGTGATGACTGGAGGGGGAAGAGTGGTCGGATGCGAGATGGGGGTTTGTTGTGCATCGAATGGGCAAGAAGACAATAACGCAGGCTCTACTTTCAGTGGTCACTCCAGCTTGCGCATAACAGGTGGGCAAACAGTTGGGCGCAACTAAACCTGCACCCATAAAAACCCCCAGCAAGCACTCACCCTGGCACTGGCACTCATTCCACACAGCACTCACCCTGAAGCCTCGGGTAGAGGTCGCTTCTTCCCCTCCCCTGTCACAGCTCCTCCAACCCCACCCCCTGCTGCTCCTCCAGCCCCACCTATTCCTCCTGCTGCTGCTGCGCCCTTGCCTCCCCCGCTCTTCCCTTCTTCCTTCACGGCAGCTGCTGCTGGTCCTTCCAGCACTGCAGGCGCATCTCCATCCGCCTCCCTGTCCTCTGGCCGAATATCAGGCTCCTCCTCCTCCTGACATGGATAGACGGGAGGGGAAGAGGCAGGGAAAAATATGATATCACACCCACACCCAGCCCTCCCTCCCTCCTTCACGGCAGCTGCTGCTGGCCCTTCTGGTGCACCAATGGTTAAGGGAACGCACAACTGGTGCATCTCCATCCACCTCCCTGTCTTCTAAGAGAATTTGTAGGTTACCTTGGCAGGTAATTGTATTAGTGTGACTTCTGAGAATTCTCAAACGAAATTGTAAATTACCTTGTCAGGTGATTGTATTAGTGTGACTTTTGAAAATTCTCAAACGAATTTGTAGATTACCTTGTCAGGTGATTGCGTTGCGTGTAGGGGGGAACGGGCGTGGAAGGGCGCACTGAGTCGGTTTTTGAGTCGACTCAAAATCTGAATTTGTAGATTACCTTGTCAGGTAATTGCGTGTAGGGGGGAACGGGCGTGGAAGGGCGCACGGGGAGCGTGCTGAAAGTGCTCTGCTCTGCTCTGCTCGTGTCTTTTGAGACGTCTCAATAGTCGTGTCGGGTTTTTGAGCTGTCTATAAGAGAACGTGGATCACATTATCAGGTAGACCGTGGTTGTGTGTCCCGTATCCACAACGCTAAGAGAGAATGTGAATTACCTCGTCAGGTAGTTGCGTATCAGGGGCACGCGTGTGAAAGGGCACACTGGGAGCCTGCTGCAAGTGCTCTGCTTGTGCTGGGGGATTGAGACGTCGAAGAAAGTGATTGTCGGTTACCTCGTCGGGTAATTGTGTGTTGGGGGTACGCGTGTGGAAGGGCACACTGGGTGCATGCTGCAAGTGCTCTGCTCTTGCCGGGCTTTTTGCAGGGTATGAGAAAGAATGCAACTCACCTCGTCGGGTAGTTGCGTGTCAGGGGCACGCGTGTGAAAGGGCACACTGGGTGCATGCTGCAGCTTTGATAGATTCTCCAGCAGGCGAGTTCTGAGTAGCGAGGGTGATGAAGAGGGGGAAAGAGGGAGGGAGCGGGAGAGAAAGAGATAAGAGGAAGAGATGCAAGGGAATGGACACACTGGGAGCGTGCTGCAACTTTGAAAGATTCTCCAGCAGGCGAGTTCTGAAACGCAGGGAAGGGGGAAAGAGAAAGGAGGAAGGGAGGATGAACGGAAATGACAAACGCTACAGCACAGCGTGAATGAACAGGCGAGTGTCAAGAGTGGGTACGGGTGTGGAAGGGCGAGTGCTGCGCGTGGGGGCGTGCGGAAGAAGGGAGGGGAGCAGCAGTTTTAGATTGCTGCTCGCCTAACTTCATGGCTGAAGGTGCGGGTGTGGAAGGGCGAGTGCTGCGCGTGGGGGCGTGCGGAAGCAGGGGAGGGGGCACGCTGGGAGCGTGCCGCAACTCAATACTCTTTGTAGGAAGAGAGAGGGAGAGCAAGACGGAGTAAAAGATAGAGAGAGAGGAGACGATGCAAGAATGGGAGGGGACGGGGCACGCTGGGAGCATGCCGCAACTCATTTCTCAAGAACGCGAGTGCTGGGTGTGATACAATGTAGGGAGTGGTGGCACTGGGAGGGTGTGGGAGCAATAGCTCACACCTTAGACCAATGACAGGGATGCAGGACTCACCGCACAGAGTCTAAATACGCCCTCGAGTTCTGGTTCTCCATGTTGCTGGGCGTGATGTGGTGGTGAAGGGTGTGCTACTACCACCGTGCATGCATGAAGCAGCAACAAGGCACACGGCTCACCGCACTGAGTCTAAATATGCCCGCGAGTTCTGGTTCTCCATGTTGCTGGGCGTGATGTGCAGCGTGTAATCCGGGCCGAAATACTCGTAGTAATCGTTGAAAGGCATTCGGTCTTCCAACTCCAACCCCACCGCTACTCCCGTCTGTTCGGGCGGACGGGGAGGAAGGAGGGAGGAGAAAGACGGAGGGACGAGGGAGGACATAGGGAGGGAAGAGGGGGTGCGAGGTTGCGGTGTGACATGCAGCGTGTAATCCGGGCCGAACTACTCGTAGTAGTCGTTGAAAGGCATTCGGTCTTCCAGCTCCAACCCCACCGCCACTCCCGTCTGTTCGGGCGGACGGGGAGGAAGGAGGGAGGAGAAAGACGGAGGGACGAGGGAGGACATAGGGAGGGAAGACGGGGTGCGAGGTTGCGGTGTGACATGCAGCGTGTAATCCGGGCCGAACTACTCGTAGTAGTCGTTGAAAGGCATTCGGTCTTCCAGCTCCAACCCCACCGCCACTCCCGTCTGTTCGGGCGGACGGGGAGGAAGGAGGGAGGAGAAAGACGGAGGGACGAGGGAGGACATAGGGAGGGAAGACGGGGTGCGAGGTTGCGGTGTGACATGCAGCGTGTAATCCGGGCCGAACTACTCATAGTAGTCGTTGAAAGGCATTCGGTCTTCCAGCTCCAACCCCACCGCCACTCCCGTCTGCTCAGATGCGCAGGGAAGGAACAATGAACGGAGAAGGAAGGAACGCGGTGGTGTGATGTGCAGGGTTTAGTCCGGGCCAAAATACTCGTAGTAGTCGTTGAAAGGCATTCGGTCTTCCAGCTCCAACCCCACCGCCACTCCCGTCTGTTCGGATGCGCAGGGAAGGAACAATGAACGGAGAAGGAACGCGGTGGTGTGATGTGCAGGGTATAGTCCGGGCCAAAATACTCGTAGCAGTCGTTGAACGGCATTCGGTCCTCGAGCTCCAATCCCACTGCCACTCCTGTCTGTTTGTGTCACTAAAGCGGAGGGAGGAAGAGGGAGTGCGAGGTTGTGGTATGATGTGCAGGGTATAGTCCGGGCCAAGATACTTGTAGTAGTCATTGAAACGCATTCGATCCTCTAATTCCAACCCCACTGCCACGCCCATCCACTCAGATAAGCTTACCGACGGGAGGAAGAGACAGAAAAGCCCGCCCAACCCCCAACAGCCCGCCTTACCTCGTAGCACCAGCAGCGGGCGACGTTGCGGATGGTGCACCCTCCCCCGCCCAGCAGCAGAAACAGATTCAAGCACCCCAGGCAGTCCCCCCGGGCTTACCTCGTAACACCAGCGGCTTACCTCGTAGCACCGGCAGCGGGCGACGTTGCGGATGGTGCACCCTCCCCCGCCCAGCAGCAGCAGCGGCACGTTGAAAGATCTCAAGAACCGCACACACTGCGAGTGCCCGTAAACCCGAAACCCTGCGTCCTGAACCCTAAAACCCAGGCTTGGCTTACCTCATAACACCAGCAGCGGGCGACGTTGCAAATGGTGTAGCCCTCTCCGCACCTCTTCCCCCCATTCCACTAGTTCTCCGTACCTCGTAGCACCAGCAGCGGGCGACGTTGCGGATGGTATACCCTCCTCCTCCCAGCAGCAGCGGCGGCACGTTGAAAGATCTCAAGAACCGCACACACTCCGAGTGGCCCCGCACCGACAAGTTGAAACACCCACAGGCTGAAAGCACTCCAGCCGGTCCCCTCCCCTCTCCGCGGTCTTACCTCATAGCACCAGCAGCGGGCGACGTTGCGAATGGTATACCCTCCCCCGCCCAGCAGCAGCAGCGGCACGTTGAAAGATCTCAAGAACCGCACACACTCCGAGTGGCCCCGCACCGACAAGTTGAAACATCCCAGGCGGTCCCCGGAGAGAGAATCCGCCCCGCACTGCAGCACGACTGCGCCTGGTTGAAAGACGTCCATGACCTTGGAGATGAGCGGCTTGAAGAGCGAGAGGTAGCTGTCGTCGTCGATGCCGTCATGCAGAGGCACGTTCAGCGAGTAGTGCTTTCCGCGGCCGTACCCCGTGTCCCTCAGATCGCCTGGCAATGAGGGGGAGAAGTGGAGGGTAAAAGCAGGGTAGTGCTTGCTTGCCCCTGTCTGTCACACTAAGAAAGGCAAGCTCCACTCCACTCGCTCCACTAAGAGAGGCACTGTAGCTTGCCAAGGCCGTAACCGTGCCCCCAAAGTAGATTGAGACTTCTGAGTCGACTCAACACCCTCTCACTCAACACCCACTCACTCAACACCCACCTTATTCAAAACTCCTAGGGATTGTGGGAGCCGTTTTTACCTGTGCCTGGGAAGTAATCCCCGAACTTGTGAAAGGACACGGTCATGACTCTGTCCGTTGTGTAAAACGCCTCCTCCACGCCATCCCCATGTCGGCTCGACACCACTGTGCCTGCCCAGTTTCAGTTTAACACTCACCCGTTGGACTGGACCCCTCACCTGTGCCGGGGAAGTAGTCGCCAAACTTGTGGAAGGACACGGTCATCACTCGGTCCGTTGTGACTCAGTGCCTTGTTTGTGACTCTCTAGTCTACTTAAAACCCACCTGTGGCCTGAAGGGCCCCCTCACCTGTGCCTGGGAAGTAGTCCCCAAACTTGTGGAAGGACAACTCGGTCCGTCGTGACTCTCTAGCCAACCCAAACCCACCTGTGCCTGGAAAGTAATCCCCCTACCTGTGCCTTCAAACGATCCCTCACCTGTGCCGGGGAAGTAGTCGCCAAACTTGTGGAAGGACACGGTCATGACTCTGTCCGTTGTGTAAAACGCCTCCTCCACGCCGTCCCCGTGGTGGATGTCAATGTCGATATAGAGCACACGCTGGGGGGGGGTAGACACAAGGGAGCGAAGAGGGGGAGAGATGGACAGGACGCGGCATGAGACAGAAAGGCTCCTCCTCCACGCCGTCCCTGTGGTGGATGTCAATGTCGATGTAGAGCACACGCTGGTGGGGAAAGAAGGGGAGGAGGGGAGAAGGAGGTCCAGGGGAGACGAGGGCAAAGGGTATGAGGGAGCAGGCCTCTCCTCCTCCTCCACGCCGTCCCCAAGGCGAATGTCAATGTCGATGTATGGCGAATGTCCACGCCGTCCCCGCCGTCCCCCTTCTTTCCCCCAGTCAATGTCAATGTCGATGTAGAGCACATGGAGGTGGGGGAAAGAAGGGGAGACGGAGGTCAAGGAAAGACGAGGGAGAAGGGTATGAGGAGCTTCACGGGGCTTGAGCATTCGCAGAAGACCCAGTGCCCGTGGTTCAGCTCGGTTCAGCTCGGTTTGGATGGAGTAATCACGCTACAAGAGAGGTGGACTCACAGCGTGGTACTTCAACAGCTCAAGAATCGCAAGCACAATATCGTTCACGTAGCAGAACCCTGAAGCTTCGCATTTCTTCGCATGGTGCAATCCGCCTGCCCAGTTGATCGCGATGTCCGAGTGCCCGTGGTTCAGCTTCACCGCACCTCCCACCGAGCCTCCGGTGTAGGTTTGGCAGAACTGGTAGAGCCCGTCGAAGACGGGACAGTCTTCTCCTACGTTGAAGCGCTTGAGCATCCGCAGCTGCTCGTGCTGATTCTCAGGGGTGACTGTGCGGAGGAATTCGACGTAATCGTCCGAGTGAAACCTGGTAGGAGGAAGATAGTGGGAGAGTGGGAGGAGGAAACGGAATCATTTAGCATTCGCAGCTGCTCGTGCTGGTTCTCAGGAGTCACTGTGCGGAGAAAATATTCGACGTAGTCGTCTGAGTGGAACCTGGTGGGTGGGAGGAACAGGTCGGGAATGGAAATGGGGGGCGTTGATAAGAGAACAATGAGACAAGCAGTGCTGGTTCTCCGGAGTCACTGTTCGGAGAAACTCCACATAGTCGTCTGAGTGGAACCCGGTAGTGGTGGGAGGATGGAGGGGAAAAGGGAAGCGTTCAACAAGAGCATTCGCAGCTGCTCGTGCTGGTTCTCAGGGGTGACTGTGCGGAGAAACTCGACGTAATCGTTCGAATGGCACCTGGTAGATAGTGAGAGAAGGGAGAAAGGGAATGCGGATCATTAACGAAGGGTTGGAAAAAAAAGGTGGGGGTTTGTGGGGGTAAAGGGTCAAAGGAAGGCTTCAGCTGGCCGGATCCAGATATAACCCCGTTATAAGCACATTCCGTTTTACCTGCACGGATCCCTATTTCCAGCTTGTCGTGCAAACCGGGGTGTATGAACAGGCTGAAGGCCATTTCGAAAAGAACAGCGTTACAAGCCCCACCTCCACATGTCCTTATCGCAAGCGCAGCCCCGCTATAAACCTCACCTGCACATATCGTTATTGCGAGCGAGAAAAGGGTTTGAAAACCTCAAGCTTGGTGTGCAGGCCGTAGCGCATCAGCAGGCTGCCAGTAAATGTGTCGTGTGCCATTGTAACGAGGTGACTTTTGAGTCGACTCAAAAGTCACCTCGTTACCTTGGTGTGCAGGCCGTAGCGCATCAGCAGGCTGCTGTTATTCAAGATTGAAAACAACCCCGTTTTGACAGCAATCCGCCTCACCTGCGCATGCACTTTTCGCCGCGCGCGGGAAACGGCTTGAAGATCTCGAGCTTGGTGTGCGGGCGGTAGCGAATCAGCAGGCCGTCATTTAGAATTGAAAACAACCCCGCACTGACAGCAATCCGCCTCACCTACGCATGCCCTTATCGTCGCGCGCGGGAAACGGCTTGAAACTCTCCAAAATGACGTGCAGGCTGTAGTGCACAGGCTGTGGTTCATCTGGATGCAAAAACATCCCTGTTATAAGGCGTACCTGCACATATCTTTATCGCGCGCGGGAAACGGCTTGAAGATCTCCAGCTTGGTGTGCAGGCCGTAGTGCATGAGCAGGCTGTGCGTCATCCGGATGCGGTGCGGCTTCATGGGATGGCCCTGGCCGTAATAGTAATTCCCCACGTCCGGATCGTAGAAATACGCGACGCGCTTCTTTCGCCCTTCCGGTCCCGCGAGATTGCACAGAGTGCCCGTCGAAGTCATGATCGGATTCGATTCGGCTACAACCAGCTGGGGTTTGCCACGTGGCTCGGCTCACGGCGCGCGTTCGCGGTATTTACGGTTAGGTTTAGTCTACAACGAGGTAGCAGAGATCGCAGCACTATATTTACACGGAGCTGACCTGAGTGGTAGCTCCTGAGGAGGAGTCACAAACCTAGGAAGTATTCAAGAAATGAAGGTGAGGGAGGAACGAACGAGACCAGAGTTGGTTATGCCTGTGAGGTGGACTTCAGGCAATTTCAAGGGAAGCTGGATGCTGAAAGCAGTCTATCGCTCTGCCGTAAATCATCGAGGGAGATGAGAGATGAAGAAGGCGTCGCGAGTTAGAATGAAAAACATCCATTTTCTGATTTCCCAGGGTAAGTTCAGCGCTACCCTTCCGTGACCCCAGAAGGACCTCTGAGGGATACACAGTGGTTCCAAGTGTGAGGTCAGGTGTTGTTGCCTGGTTTGGATGGAAGGGAGCCTCTAAATCTGGGAGAGCTGTGGTTTGTTTGAGAACTGTCCTCCAGATTCTTCCGTAATTTTCGAGGTTGTTGTGTTACAGGCCTCTCACATCAACTCCCTGGGGCAGAAATAAATTTATCTGAGAGGTTGGGGATGTAAAACCCTGCAAAATATCTCTCTCCACATCAGGTGAGGGATGTCGCCATACCAAACCGATCCATGATCCGCGTTGCAAGATGTATCCAAGGATTTTACACGACACTTTGCGTGATGGGTTCCGTAGCTAGATGTAGAGGCTCTTTTCAAAACAGAACATGACAAATATATCACCTTGCAATTTTTACTAGGAGCTGAGAAATTTCACTGCACACAATGTGCAATGTGACAAGACTGCAGGTAAATGAATTTGAGGTGCTATTGAGAGTACAAGTGGTCATCCCTCATCCACTCTCTCTAATTGGGCCACACGTCGTGCAAGACTCGACAAATATGGAAAGGGTTTGCGCAGCAACAGCACATACGGTATGGTAAATTGTCCCTAAAAACGCTTCTTGTGACTGTCACATTTCGTTATGTTTCGCGATCCTTATCCTCTGATTTCTCAAACTTATCATCCTGGCAGCACACAGCATGGCACGGCACGCAAGGCGTCCTGCTCATGCGCATCATGTGCCACCAAACATGAGCATCTTGCTCTTGTTTACGACCTATGCTGACCTATGAGCATGCCCACCAAACAGCATTTCCCACGGGGCTTTCCACAACACTAGGCGCGGGCGCGCCACCTGCCCACCCGGCAGCATATCAACCACAAATGCACCTGCCTACCTGCCTCTTCCACTACTACAAACAATCTTACCTGGTCAACTAACAACTCACCTTGCCCGCCAGCGTCTCCCCTCGTGCCACCAAACATGAGCATCGTGCTCTCATGCAACGGGTGGCATCAGCGCCATACGGATCAGCATGTGCCACCAACCGAGCATGAGCATCTTGCTCTCATGCAACAGGTGGCATCAGCGCCACACGGCTCAGCATGTGCCACCAACCAAGCATGAGCATCATGCTCTCATGCTACAGGTGGCATCAGTGCCATACGGCTCATCATGTGCCACCAACCAAGCATGAGCATCATGTGCCACCAACCAAGCATGAGCATCATGCTCTCATGCAACAGGTGGCATCAGCGCCATACGGCTCAGCATGTGCCACCAACCAAACATGAGCATCATGCTCTCATGCAACAGGTGGCATCAGTGCCATACGGCTCATCATGCCACCAACCAAGCATGAGCATCTTGCTCTCATGCAACAGGTGGCATCAGTGCCATACGTCTCAGCATGTGCCACCAACCAAACATGAGCATCTTGCTCTCATGGAACAGAGAGAGGCGACAGAGGAAAGATACAGAGAAGACACGAGGGAGGCGAACAGAGTAGACAGAAGGAGGATACAGAAGTAGGCAAACAGAGAGAGGCGACGGAGGGAGGATAGAGGGAGGAAAACAGAGAGAGGTGACAGAGAGAGGATAGGAAGGTAGGCTAACAGAAAGAGGGGACAGAGGGAGGATAAAGGGGGAGGAAAACAGAGAGAGAGGTGACAGAGGGAGGAAAACACAGAGAGAGGTGACAGAGGGAAGATACAGACGGAGGAAAATAGAGGTAGAAGTGACAGAGGGAGGAAAATAGAGAGAGAGGTGAGAGAGGGAGGATACAGGGGTACGAAAACAGAGAGAGAGAGGTGACAGAGGGAGGATACAGAGGTAGAAAAACAGAGAGAGAGGTGACAGAGGGAGGATATAGAGGTAGTAAAACAAAGAGAGATGTGACAGAGGGAGGACACAGGAGTAGGAAAACAGAGGGAGAGGTGACAGAGGGAGGGTACAGGGAGGGGGGGGAACAGAGAGAGAGGTGATAGAGGGAGGATACAGAGGGAGGAAAACAGATAGAGAGATGACAGACGGAGGATACCGAGATAGAAAAACAGAGAGGTGACAGAGGGAGGAAAACAGAGAGAGGGGACGGAATGAGGATGCAGAGTGAGGAAGACCGAGAGAGGTGACAGAGGGAGGATACAGAGGGAGGATACAGAGGGAGGATACAGAGGGAGGAAAACCGAGAAAGGTGACAGAGAGAGGATAGAGAGGGAGAAAAACATAGCGAGAGAGAGAGAGAGAGAGAGAGAGAGAGAGAGAGAGAGAGAGAGAGAGAGAGAGAGAGAGAGAGAGGCGAAAGAGGGAGGATACAGAGGGAGGAAAACAGAGAGAGGTTACAGAGGGAAGATACAGAGGGAGGCAAGCACTCCGCTTTCACCTGCCAGCAGTAGGAGCAGCAGACAGCCCACCGGCCTTCGGACACAGCACCCTCAGAGGCTGTGCCTTGCGGGGCGAAGAGTGGCAGTGGAAAAGCGCTTCCAGCACAAGACTCAAATCCCACCCCTGACGTAGCCAGAGCTGACGCGAACCAGAGCCGCCGGCCGGTCGGCTCTGACGGTGTCCATTAGGCCTTGAACGCCAGATCGGTTACTTGAGCACCGAGTGCCGAGCTGCGGAGATTCCACCCTCCACACCCCACCCCACAAGGCAAAACCCCAGGAGATGCTGCCCCTAAGGCAGTGAACTCCCCACTTGCTCCCATGCTCCCCACCCACCCACCCCACACTTCACCCCCATGCCTTTACCTTTACTTACCTCCACTTACCACAGCCGTGCAGAGCGCCATGATGCTGAGGATACTAGAAAGTGGAGAGAGAAAGGGGGATTAGGGGAGGGAGAGACTCCTCTGTGATCCAGGCAGGGTGCTGCTGGAGGGGAAGGGAAAAGGGAGAGAGGAGGAGGTGAGTGAGAGGGCGGACTCCACTCTCCCGTCCTTGCTCCAGTGCTCCCACCTTCAGCCTGCATGGAGAAGGAGGGGGGTGAGAGAGGAGGGGATCAGCTTACCATACCTCATCTGTAACCATACCATACCTTGTACCATATATCCCCGCAGCCACATCTAGCCTAGCCAAGCCCCCCTTCCCCTACTGTAGGTACTGCTGCTGCCGCTTCTGCTGCTGCCGGTCTGCTACTCTGCTTCCCCTGCTGCTGCTGCTGCCCCTCCCCTACCCTCCGCTGCTGCCCCGCTGCTGCTCTGCTGCTGCACCCTGCTGCCCTGCTACAGCCTTCAATGTACTGGGAGGGAGGGGAGAGGGAGGGAGACAAAGGGGCAAGGGAGAGCAGTCAGAATGGGGAGAAGAGCAGGCAGAAGCATGAAGAAAGAGAGGGGGCAAAAAACGGAAGTGAGCATGGGGAGAAGGCCAAGCAGCAGCATGAGTGCATGAGGAAAAAGAGGCTCACCTTGTTCCAGACGACCCAATCCCGATACTCTCCCATCCCATCCCAGCCGAGTGGAGTGCTGCCCCCTTGGCCTCCCACCTGCATGGCCACAAGGGGAGGGGTGCTGAGGAATGGCAGTGTTGTCCCCCACACCCCTCCCCTCCACCTGCAAGGGACTCACACAGCAGCAGTGAGTGTACTGTGGGGGGACTACAGGCAAATCGGCTAGGCAAGAAAACTGCAAAGGTAGAGGAGTGACGGGCCATTGGAGGAGGCACAACCACAAGACACAGACCCCCAAGTGAACCTGAGGGGTGAACCTGAGAGGGCTGTAAGGCTTTGGGGGGGCTGAACATGAACCTGAGGGGTTACCAGCAGTAGGAGTGGGGGGGCCTGTGGCTTGTGTGCCAGGCCCTAACCAGTGGCAAGATTTCAGAGGTGATAGCATCAATAGCACATGAGGTAAAAACGGAAGCAGAAAGATGCGCAATGGGAAGCAGGAAAGGAAACGCCAAGGAAGAGGTGTACTTAGCTGGAAACTTAAAGCTCGGTTGGTGCCCTCCCTCGTCCCTCCTGCTGCCCTCCTGCTCCCCCTTGCCGCCCTGCTACAGCCTTCAATGCACTGGGCGCTGGAAGAACGCCGAGAGGGAGGGGGGAGAGAGGCAGACAGGGAACAAGGGACTGTGAGAATGGGAAGAAGATGACTTTTGAGTCGACTTTTGAGTCGACTCAAAAGTCAACTCGCTGAGAGGGAGGGGGGAGAGAGGCAGACAGGGAACAAGGGACAGCTGTGAGAATGGGAAGAAGAGCAGGCAGAAGCGTACAGGCAGGGAGGGAGCAAGAAAGGAAAGTGAGCATGGGGAGAAAACCAAGCAGCAGCACGAGTGCAAGAGGGAAAACAGGCTCACCTTGTTCCAGACGACCCAATCCCGATACTCTCCCATCCCATCCCAGCTGCGTGGAGTGCTTCCCCCCAGCCCCGACTGCTGCTTCTTCTGCTGCTGCTCCTGGTCTGCTACTCTGCTTCCCCTGCTGCTGCCGTTGCCCCTCCCCTCCCCTCCGCTGATGCCCTGCTGCGTGCCCCCCTGCTGCCCCCAGGCTGCCCCCTTCTGTCGCGCTGCTACAGCCTTCAATGCTCTGGGGGTGAGGGAAGAGGGAGGGGAGACGGAGGGAGGCAGGGGATCAAGAAGCAGCAGTGAGAACAGGGAGAAGCGTGAATGCAGGGAGCGAGCAAGAAGCAGCATGAGTGCACGAGGAAAAGAGGCTCACCTTGTTCCAGACGACCCCATCCTGATACTCTCCCATCCCATCCCAGCCGAGTGGAGTGCTGCCCGCCTCCTCTCCCACCGCTGCCACCTGCACGGCCACAGGGGAGGGGCGTGAGGGAACGTCGGTGTTGACCCCACACCCCTCCCCGCCACCTGCAATGCGCACACACACAGCTAGTCAGAGCGCAGTGGTGGGAGCAAGTTGAATGGGAATCTGTGACTTGAAATCCAGCGCAAGGGAAGGGAAGAGCCAGTGGTTGAGGCACGACCACAAGCTGCAGACCCAAGGGCACCTGAAAAAAAACCTGAGGGGTGTACCTGCACCTGAGAGGGTTACCTGAAGTGGAGGGGTCTGTGGCATGTGAACCGCGCTCAACCGATGGCATTGTTTCAAAGAGAAGGGCGAAAGCACAACCGGCAAACGAAATGGCAGCAACAAAGAAAGAAGCCATGATGTGGCGGGCAAGGGTGAGGACATGGAAGTGGGTGACTTAGCTGATAGCGTGAGGGCGAGCTCAAGGCAGCTGCAGCACCACCAGCTGCCTCCCTCCGCAGCAGCCCTCCTCCAGGTGCCTCCTCCCTGCATGGCCACAGGGGAGGGGCGTGAGGGAGCGTCGGTGTTGACCCCACACCCCTCCCCACCACCTGCAATGCGCACACACAGAGCTAGTCAGAGCGCAGTGGTGGGAGCAAGTCGAATGGGAAACTGTGACTTGAAATCCAGCGAGCGCAGGGGAAGGGAGGAGGAGCCAGTGGTTGAGGCACGACAACAAGCTGCAGACCCAAGGGCACCTGAAAAAGAACCTGAGGGGTGAACCTGCACCTGAAGGGGTTACCTGAGGGAATTACCTGAAGCAGGGGGGTCTGTAGCATGTGAGCAGTACTCAACCAGTGGTGTTGTTTCAGGAAGACGTTGCAACAGCAGACAAAACAAATGAAACAGTATGGCATGCAAGGGTGAGGGCATGGAGGAACGGGTACTTAGCTTATTGTGTGGTGCAGGCAGAAGGGATGGGTGCTTCAATGGCGAGCGGGCAGGGAGAGTGGGGCTTGAAGGGATGGACCTGCGAGGCAGTGGAGAAGGGGAGAGAGAGATAGAGAGATAGTAAGAGGCAGGTGGGAGGGAGTGACTTTTTAAAACGAGACGACAGGCAGCAGTGCGAGTGCAAAAAAGACGGTGCATGTGATGCCAACCACAGCCCCACAAGAGCCGCTACCAACCTGAACCTGCACCTGAACCTGAGGGGGAGTGGGCTCGAGTGGAGTGTGGTGGCAGGGGCGATACTGCAACCTCAACCGTTGATGAGGCCGGCGCTGCTGCCACGCTGCCCGCACTCCTGCTGCCCGCCCTGGTGCTCCCCTCGCCTGCTGCTCGCCTGCTGCCGCCCCCCTGGCTTGTGAAGGCCTGGCAGGGAAGGGATGGGAGGGGAGGGAGGGCGGAAACGAAAGGCAGCCGAAAGTAAGAGGGGTTTCAATGGAGAAAATCGTCAAATAAACGTGCAACAGCAGAAACGACAGTGCATGTGACGCCAACCACAACCCCACAAGAGCCGCTACCAACCTGCACCTGCACCTGGCGAGTGGGTCTGCAGATTGTGGCCGTGCCTTCACCAGTGGCTCCTCCTCCCTTCCCTTGCGCTGCATTTCAAGTGACAGTTTCCCTTTCAACTTGCTCCCACCACTGCGCTCTGACTAGCTCTGTGTGTTCGTTGCAGGTGGCGGGGAGGGCGTGGGGGTCAACACCGCCGCTCCCTCGCGCTCCACCCCTGTGGCCTTGCAGGTGGCAGTGGTGGGAGGGGAGGGGGGCAGCACTCCACTCGGCTGGGATGGGAAGGGAGAGTATCGGGCTGGGTTGTCTGAAACAAGGTGAGCCTCTTTTCCCCTCCCTTCTACAGATGCTTGAATGTCTGTTCTTCCTTCACTCGCGCTGCTGCTTGGTTTTCTGCCCATGCTCACTTCGCTTGCTGCTCCCTGCCCTGTGTTCCCTTCTTTCTCATTGCCCTTCACATCCCCGTCCTCTCCTCCATCCCTTCCTCTCTCTGCTCCAATCCCCGTCGTCCCAGCAGGTTGCTCATACGGGAGTGGCAGTGGCGGGGGATATGGAGTGCAACAGCAGCTGCTCTCCACCCAACCCACCCACAGCTAAGTATCCGCCCTCACTTTCTCCTCCCAATCTCTCTCGTGTTCGTTTGCTTTCCACGTTCATCCTTGCTGCATCTCCTGTTTTCTTGTCTCTTCAAATGCAAGCCTCTTGTTGAGCCAAAGCATCAAGCCTCTTGTTGAGCCAAAGCATCAAGCCTCTTGTTGAGCCAAAGCATCAAGCCTCTTGTTGAGCCAAAGCATCAAGCCTCTTGTTGAGCCAAAGCATCAAGCCTCTTGTTGAGCCAAAGCATCAAGCCTCTTGTTGAGCCAAAGCATCAAGCCTCTTGTTGAGCCAAAGCATCAAGCCTCTTGTTGAGCCAAAGCATCAAGCCTCTTGTTGAGCCAAAGCATCAAGCCTCTTGTTGAGCCAAAGCATCAAGCCTCTTGTTGAGCCAAAGCATCAAGCCTCTTGTTGAGCCAAAGCATCAAGCCTCTTGTTGAGCCAAAGCATCAAGCCTCTTGTTGAGCCAAAGCATCAAGCCTCTTGTTGAGCCAAAGCATCAAGCCTCTTGTTGAGCCAAAGCATCAAGCCTCTTGTTGAGCCAAAGCATCAAGCCTCTTGTTGAGCCAAAGCATCAAGCCTCTTGTTGAGCCAAAGCATCAAGCCTCTTGTTGAGCCAAAGCATCAAGCCTCTTGTTGAGCCAAAGCATCAAGCCTCTTGTTGAGCCAAAGCATCAAGCCTCTTGTTGAGCCAAAGCATCAAGCCTCTTGTTGAGCCAAAGCATCAAGCCTCTTGTTGAGCCAAAGCATCAAGCCTCTTGTTGAGCCAAAGCATCAAGCCTCTTGTTGAGCCAAAGCATCAAGCCTCTTGTTGAGCCAAAGCATCAAGCCTCTTGTTGAGCCAAAGCATCAAGCCTCTTGTTGAGCCAAAGCATCAAGCCTCTTGTTGAGCCAAAGCATCAAGCCTCTTGTTGAGCCAAAGCATCAAGCCTCTTGTTGAGCCAAAGCATCAAGCCTCTTGTTGAGCCAAAGCATCAAGCCTCTTGTTGAGCCAAAGCATCAAGCCTCTTGTTGAGCCAAAGCATCAAGCCTCTTGTTGAGCCAAAGCATCAAGCCTCTTGTTGAGCCAAAGCATCAAGCCTCTTGTTGAGCCAAAGCATCAAGCCTCTTGTTGAGCCAAAGCATCAAGCCTCTTGTTGAGCCAAAGCATCAAGCCACAGACCCATTTTCTTGGATAATCCCCCCCTGGTAACACGGCAGGTATCCCCTCAGGTTAAGCCTCCCTAGGTATTCTTCCTCCTTGGATCTGTGGCTTGTAGCTGAGGCTGCGCTAGTGGCCCCCTTCTCTGCTCCCACATGCCATCTCATGCACTCCCCTCACATTTCTACCCCTAGCCGCTTACTCACTTCTCTTCAGTTCTCTCCTTGCTGGTTGTGGGGAGGGGCGTGGGGGTCAACACCGCCACTTCCTCACACCCCTCCCCTTGTGGCCGTGCAGGTGGCAGTGGTGGGAGGGGAGGGGGGCAACACTCCACTCGGCTGGGATAGGATGGGAGAGTATTGGGCTGGGTCGTCTGAACCAAGGTGAGCCTCTTTTCCCTCCCTGCTACAGATGCGTCATATCCCTCTCTTCAATTCTGCATTCTCGTTTTTGTCCACTCTAGTGTTCTTCGGTTTACATGAGTGATTCCTTGATGCCAACTTACTCGCTCCTCCCGCCCCTCCTCTCCCGACCCTGCCCCTTTCCCCCAATTTATGCGCGCTACTAGGTCACTTGGCAACAATAGAAGTTTGCAGCAGAGGAAGCAGAGTAGCAGACCGGCAGCAGCGGTTGCAGCAGCAGAAGCAGCGGCGGTAGCAGCGGTGGGGGTGGGGGGTTGAGGGCAGGCCAAGCTAGCTGAAGCTGTGGGGAGGTGTGGTATCATGTATGGTACGGTAACAGGTGAGGTAAGGTATCAGGTGAGGTATGGTAGTCTGATTCTCTCCTCTCTCTCTTCCCCCTCCCCCCCTTGTCCTTTTTGCAGCCTGAGAGTGGGAGCACTGGAGCAAGGACAGGAGAGTGAAGTCCACCCTCTCACTCACCTCCTCCTCTCTCTCCCTTTTCCCTTCTCTCCCAGCAGCACCCTGCCTGGACCACAGTGGAGTCCCCTCCTTCCGTTCATCCCCCCCTCCCTTCCCCCACCCCCTTCCCAGCAGCCTAAGGCATCATGGCGCTCTGCATGGCTCTGGTAGGTAGAGGTAAGTAGGCATGGGGGTGAAGTGTGGGGTGGGCGGGTGGGGAGCACGGGAGCAAGTGGGAGTTCACTGCCTTAGGGACAGCATCTCCTGGGGTTCTTTCTTGTGGATCGGGGTGTGGTGGGTGGAATCTGCGCGGCACGGCACTCGGTGCTCAAGTAACCAATCTGGCGTTTAAGGCTTAATGGACACCGTCAGAGCCGACCGGCCGGCGGCTCTGGTTCGCGTCAGCTCTAGCCACGTCAGGGGTGGGATTTGAGTCTTGGGCTGGAAGCAATTTTCCACGCCCCACAAGGCACCGCCTCTGGGGGTGCTGTTTCCTTAAGAAAGTGGGCTTTCTGCTGCTCCTACTGCTGGCAGGTGAAGGTGGGATGGGCTGGGTGGGGTGAGTGAGAGAGAAAGGGGCCTGAAACCCCTTGGGTGGTGAGTGGGGCCTGAAACCCCTTGGGTGGTGAGTGGGGCCTGAAACCCCTTGGGTGGTGAGTGGGGCCTGAATCCCCTTGGGTGGTGAGTGGGGCCTGAATCCCCTTGGGTGGTGAGTGGGGCCTGAATCCCCTTGGGTGGTGAGTGGGGCCTGAATCCCCTTGGGTGGTGAGTGGGGCCTGAATCCCCTTGGGTGGTGAGTGGGGCCTGAAACCCCTTGGGTGGTGAGTGGGGCCTGAAACCCCTTGGGTGGTGAGTGGGGCCTGAATCCCCTTGGGTGGTGAGTGGGGCCTGAATCCCCTTGGGTGGTGAGTGGGGCCTGAAACCCCTTGGGTGGTGAGTGGGGCCTGAAACCCCTTGGGTGGTGAGTGGGGCCTGAATCCCCTTGGGTGGTGAGTGGGGCCTGAATCCCCTTGGGTGGTGAGTGGGGCCTGAATCCCCTTGGGTGGTGAGTGGGGCCTGAATCCCCTTGGGTGGTGAGTGGGGCCTGAATCCCCTTGGGTGGTGAGTGGGGCCTGAATCCCCTTGGATGGTGAGTGGGGCCTGAATCCCCTTGGGTGGTGAGTGGGGCCTGAAACCCCTTGGGTGGTGAGTGGGGCCTGAAACCCCTTGGGTGGTGAGTGGGGCCTGAATCCCCTTGGGTGGTGAGTGGGGCCTGAATCCCCTTGGGTGGTGAGTGGGGCCTGAAACCCCTTGGGTGGTGAGTGGGGCCTGAAACCCCTTGGGTGGTGAGTGGGGCCTGAATCCCCTTGGGTGGTGAGTGGGGCCGAATCCCCTTGGGTGGTGAGTGGGGCCTGAATCCCCTTGGGTGGTGAGTGGGGCCTGAATCCCCTTGGGTGGTGAGTGGGGCCTGAATCCCCTTGGGTGGTGAGTGGGGCCTGAGTGGGCCTGAGTGGGCTTTCTGCTGCCCCTACCGCTGGCAGGTGAAGGTAGGGATGGGCTGGGTGGGCGGGTGAGAGGGAAGGGGACTGAATCCTCTTGGGTTGGGTGGGTGAGAGGGAAGGGGACTGAATCCTCTTGGGTTGGGTGGGTGAGAGGGAAGGGGACTGAATCCTCTTGGGTTGGGTGGGTGAGAGGGAAGGGGAATGAATCCCCTTGGGTTCGGTGGGTGAGAGGGAATGGGGGTTGGGTGGTTGAGAGGGATGGGGACTGAATCTCCTTGAGTGGGATGGGTGAGAAGGAAGGGTTGAATCCCCTTGGGTGGGATGGGTGAGAAGGAAGGGGTGAATCCCCTTGGGTGGGATGGGTGAGAAGGAAGGAGTGAATCCCCTTGGGTGGGATGGGTGAGAAGGAAGGGTGAATCCCCTTGGGTGGGATGGGTGAGAAGGAAGAGATGAATCCCCTTGGGTGGGATGGGTGAGAAGGAAGGGGTGAATCCCCTTGGGTGGGATGGGTGAGAAGGAAGGGGTGAATCCCCTTGGGTGGGATGGGTGAGAAGGAAGGGGTGAATTCCCTTGGGTGGGATGGGGAGCAGTGGGGTAGGTGGGGTGGGGATCAAGCAGAACGGGTTGGGTTGGGTTGGGTACGCTGGAAGGCGCAGTGGGATGGGCAGGGTACAGTGGGATGAGATAGAGTGGGTTGGGCAGGGTACGGTGGGATGAGGTAGAGTGGGTTGGGCAGGGTACAGTGGGATGAGGTAGAGTGGGTTGGGCAGGGTACGGTGGGATGAGGTAGAGTGGGTTGGGCAGGGTACAGTGGGATGAGGTAGAGTGGGTTGGGCAGGGTACAGTGGGATGAGGTAGAGTGGGTTGGGCAGGGTACTGAGGTATGATACAGTTTGCTATGATACAGTCTGCTATGATACAGTCTGCTATTATAAGGTGTGCTATGATAAGGTGTGCTATGATAAGGCATACTATGATAAGATGTGGTCTGATACAGAGTGATGATGAGTGTGGTTTGAGTGATTCTTCGGTATAATACATCGATTGGTATGCTAAATCAATTGGTATGATACTGTGATTGGGTGAAATGGGCTGGATCGTCTATTCTCTGCGTTTCTCTTCTCTGTGTCCCGTCCCTTCTCTGTGTGCCGTCCCATCTCTGTGTGCGGTCCCATCTCTGTGTGCTGTCCCTTCTTTGTCCCATCCTCATTGAAACAGTTCCCATCCACAGGCGTTTCTCCCTTCTCCTGGGGGCCATGCAGGTTCCCTGCCTGCCATCAATGCACGACTCATGCTCACATGATTGTGTTGTGATGTGACCCCTTGCCTTTTGAGACGTCTCAGAAGTTTCTCCCTTCTCCTGGGGGCCATGCAGGTTCCCTGCCTGCCATCAATGCACGACTCATGCTCACATGATTGTGTTGTGATGTGACCAGTTGCTGCTTCTCATTCTTTGTCATTCCAACCCAGCACATTGAGGGTTCAGGTGAAGCCTGTTTCCATCCTCAGGCGTTCCTTCCCGTCTGCGGCAACACGCCTTCCTCCACCGGTCCAAAGATGATGACGCTGCAGGGTGTTTTTGAGATTTCTCAAAACACCCTGCGGCAACATGCCTTAATCCACTGGAGCAAAGGTGGTGGCGGCTCCCATCCTTGGGCACCTCTCATGCTAGCGCCTCTCACCTGCCTGGAACCACTTTCCCATCACTGCTGTTGGCACTCTGCAGACTTGATTAGGTACATGTACCTAGTGGGGAATTCCACAATCATTTCACACGAATGCAATAATGTGTAGCTATTTTTCTTTCATTCCTATAAATTTGTTGGGAACTACTTGGAGGCCTTGAAGTGGAAAAGTGCATTCGCGACTGCTTTCTTTCGAGGTATTTTTAATAAAAAATGATCCAGAACATAAATTGTGTGGTACCGGTATTTTTTTTCCTAGCCGGGTGCAGAGGCTCCGTTTCAAAATGGAACATGACTGCATTTCAAATAATATATCACCCTGCCAGGAGCAGACAATTTTCACTGCACATAAGTGCAATGTATCAAGACTGCAGGGAAACGAAAATGAGAGAGCTACTATTGAGAGTACCAGAGATCCTCCCTATCCACTCTCTCCAATTGGGCCACGCGTCGTGCAATCCTCGAGAAGGATGAAACCAGTTCGCGCAACTTCAACGACGTGTTCCAGACACAACGATATTTTGTAACTAGAGTTGAACGAAGTATTTTTCTGACTGGGTGCCTTCGTTAGCTTTCGCGAGCCTTATCCCCTGATTTCTCGAACTTATCCTCCATTAGGACGCACCAACAGTTAAAGCGCTTTACGCTTTAGGAGCAGGCGAGTCCGCCATTTTCGAGGTCCTCGCCGTTCGGCAAACCTCCTTCAAGACTTTCGTACGGATTTTGCAAGATATTGCGAGATTGCGTCCATTCGTACGATTATCGCGTGGTAAATAAACGCCTCGCATTCTAAATCCTAAGGGAGACTGAGCCTGACGAGTGGGTTAAGCCAATGGCGTCCCTCCTCGCATCGCCGGCCACACTGGCTGGTCCTCGAACCGCAGGTTTGTCTTTTCCATAACCTTCTTTTGTCCATATCCGTATTGGACCATAACTCGTAAAGCAGCATTGAGATTCCGGGTTAATAAGCACGCATTTTATACTCTTATCACCACTGCTACGTCCTCCTCGGCCCATGTAACCAATTCGGTTACCAAACAGTTTTTATTTTGCCCTAAGCAGCTGACTTCTACTCCTGTCTCCTCTACTCTATCGCCTCTCACGTACTTGCTCTGGCAAATGCTTCGTTTTCCTCAGTATCCACGTTCTGTTTCCCCTCCCTTCCCGCTCCCCATCCCCATCCTCAACCCTCAAATCGAGTTTCCGGACATCTAGCATGTCTATCTATCCGCGTTCGCCATCCTCTCATTCAGCACGCGGCTGAGCATTCTTCCAGCTTAATCAACCCGCGTCATTCTCTCAGCTCAGGAGCGTATCGCTTCCCTATCACCCTCCCTATTCCACACCCCTGAATCCTCACCATCTCCCGCATCTCCCCAGCAGGCTAGCAGTCCGACCCCCTTCGCTTCCTTGATTTTTCCGTCACCCAACCCCGCTATACCCCTCCCACTCTCCTCCCCACTTCCCCCCAAGCAGCATTCGCGAAGGATCATCTCCCGCATCTCCCCAGCAGACTAACCGCTCGATCCCCGTCCCTTCGCCTCCGCCCATTTCCGAGACCAGTAGCGGCTCAGGTCAGAACGCGTGCTCCTCCTTACCACACGCAAACACACACACACCCGCACACGCACACACATACACCCGCACACGCACACACATACACCCGCACACGCACACACACACACACACACACACACACACACACACACACACACCCGCACACGCACACCACGCCCTGCCATCAGTGGGTTTCTAGACGATCATCCCCTTCCCCTCGCCTCCTCTCATTTCCGAGACCAGTAGCGGGGCTCAGGTCGGATCGCCTGCCCGCGCTTACCGCACACTCACCACACGCCTTTGAGTCGACTCAAACGCCCAACCATTCGTCACCTGCCCCCGCTTACCGCACACTCACCACACGCCTTTGAGTCGACTCAAACGCCCAACCATTCGTCACCTGCCCGCGCTTACCGCACACTCACCACACGCCTTTGAGTCGACTCAAACGCCCAACCATTCGTCACCTGCCCGCGCTTACCGCACACTCACCACACGCCTTTGAGTCGACTCAAAAGCCCAACCATTCGTCACCTGCCCCCGCCCTGAATACAGCCCCGCCCTGAATACAGCCCCGCCCTGAATACAGCCCCGCCCTGAATACAGCCCCTCCCTGAATACAGCCCCTCCCTGAATACAGCCCCGCCCTGAATACAGCCCCTCCCTGAATACAGCCCCGCCCTGAATACAGCCCCGCCCTGAATACAGCCCCTCCCTGAATACAGCCCCTCCCTGAATACAGCCCCTCCCCATCTCCTCCCTCCATGTTGAGATCATGCAGGGAGGCAAGGCAGGGGAGGGCGGGCCTGTGGGTTTGTCGTCGTTGCCTCTTCCAGGAAGCAGCAGCAGCAGCAGCAGCAGCGGTAACAGGCGTTTGTCGACAGTGGCCCAGGCAACGCAGCAGCAGAAATCGTCTGGTTCTGCTGCAGCTGGTGGGTATTTGTGGGTGTAGAGGGCCAGGAAGAAAAGGTTTGGGCAGGGGGGGGGGGGGGGGGGGGGGGGGGGGGGGGGAAGGGGAGAGAGAGAGTTGCCGTTGCAGCCGGTGGGTGCATGATCTGGCATTTGAGGCGCCTCAAAAGCCGGTGGGTGCATGATTTGGACGAGGCTGTGTGCATATGTGTGTGCGTAGGTGACTTTTGAGTCGACTCAAAAGTCACCAGCAGGAAAGGGTTTGGAGGGGAAGGGACGGGAGAGGGCGAGAGAGGGGGTTGCTGTTGCAGCCGGTGGGTACATGATATGGAAAAGGCTGTATGCATATGTGTGTGTAGAGGGCTGGAAAGGAAGGGTTTCAGGGGGTGGGGAAAGTGGGAGACAGAGGGCTGCCGCAACTCGTGGCTGTGTTGATTCTGACGAGGCTTATGTGTTTGTATGGGCTGTATGACCCACCCGATTCTTCTCCCTCCTCTTTCTCCCCCCTCTGCCTCCCGTTTCCACCTCTCCCCTGACCTGACCTGCACCACCTTTCCAGTTGAGGACAGCAAAATCGACATCGGCGACTTTTTCAAGGGCGATTTACCCAAGAAATTCCTCATGCTCCTGGGTCTGCTCGCGCTATCTCGCGTGGGCATCTACATTCCCCTGTGGGGTGTTGATATCTCTGCCTTCCAGGAGCAACTGGGGGAGGGCTCATTCCTGGCCACCCTAGATACCCTCTCAGGGGGCGGAATTGGACGGCTGGGATTGTTTTCGCTGGGCATCGTGCCGTATATCAACGCTCAGATCGTGTTTCAGCTGCTGGGGACGCTGTATCCCAAGATTGGGGATCTGCAGAAGAAGGAGGGGGAGGCAGGGAGGAAAAAGGCGCAGCAGTATATGAAGTATATGGCAGTGGTGTTTGGTGCTCTGCAGGTGGGTTGATTGATTCGCTCTAAGAACACTCCAAGTGTGTAAGGTAGGTGGCCGGCACAAGAAGGAGGGGGAGGCAGGGAGGAAGAAGGCGCAGCAGTATATGAAATATATGGCTGTGGCGTTTGGTGCTCTGCAGGTATGTTAATTGATTCGTTACGCTCCCTCGGTCGCCTGGGCTGTCTCAGCAGTGTCCGGTCTCACCCTCAGGTCCCCACCATCATTCCCTGTCTTTCCCCTGCTCTCTCCCCTGTTCTATTCCCCAGGCCATAGGACAAGTGGCCTACCTCCAGCAGTACGCCTACGGCCCGTCGGTCGCCTGGGCAGTGTCAGTGCTTGCCTTCTCACTGTGTCTCCCTGTTCCCTCTCCCTACCCCCCTCCCCCCACCAGGCCATAGGGCAAGTCGCCTATCTGCAGCAGTACGCCTACGACCCCTCAGTCGCCTGGGCCGTCTCAGCCGTCTCAGGCCTCACCCTCGGCTCAGTTGCTGTGATTCTCCTGGGAGACAAGATCACCGACCTCAAGCTCGGCAACGGCACCTCGCTGCTCATCTTCACCAACATCGTCTCCTACCTGCCGGCGTCGATTGGAAGGACCATCACAGAGGCTACAGAGCAGGGGAACGTTACCGGAGAGGCGCTGCTGCTGGCGTCGTTCCTGCTTCTCGTCTTTGGGATTGTCTATGTCCAGGTGGGTGCGGATGGTTGCAGGTGGGTTCCTGCTCTCTGCCTGTCTGCCTGCCTGCCTGTGTGCCTCCTCCTGCCTCAAGCTCGGCAACGGCACCTCGCTGCTCATCTTCACCAACATCGTCTCCTACCTGCCGGCGTCGATTGGAAGGACCATCACAGAGGCTACAGAGCAGGGGAACGTTACCGGCGAGGCGCTGCTGCTCGCCTCGTTCCTGCTGCTCGTCTTTGGCATCGTCTACGTGCAGGTGGGTGGGTGCGGATGGATGCGGGTGGGTGCGGGCGGGTGCGAGTGGGTGCAGGCGGGTGTGCTGTTTTCCCCGTACCTGCCGGCGTCCATTGGACGGACCATCACGGAGGCATCTGAGCAGGGGAACGTTACCGGAGAGGCGCTGCTTCTGACCTCCTTCCTGCTGCTCGTCTTTGGCATCGTCTACGTCCAGGTGGGTGGTTGTGCTGTGGTCTCTGCCTGCCCGCCTGCCTGCCCGCATGCCCTCCTGTCCTCCTGCCTGCCTGCCCTCCTGCCACCCTGCCTGCCTGCCTTCCGGTACAACCAACCCAAACTCCCCCTTACCCTTCCTTCCATTTCCCCCACGCCACCCTTCCCACCACCCCCTCCCTCCGAGCAGGAGGCAGAGAGGCGCATCCCCATCAACTATGCCTCTCGGTACAACATCAAAACGCGCAACGCTTACCTGCCATTCAAGGTAACACCTCCCCCTTGAAGATAACGCCTTCCTCCTCTTGAAAGTGGGTTTCCACATTCCCCATCCCTTCATTCCCTGTCAGACCCCTCCTCTCTCTTCCTCCTACCCTTCACTTCACTCTTGAGACATCTCAAATTTCATCTACTTCAGTTCATTTTGAAATTTTGAAATTTTGAAAGCCGACACGACATTCCCCATCGCTTCAGTTCAGTTCATCCCATATCAGGATTTCTCATACTGCTTTCCTTATTTATCTTGCATTGCATGTGCCCCATTCCCTCTCATCAACCTCTCTCTCTCCGTCTCTCGTTCCCCCCTTCCACAGGTCAACTCAACGGGAGTCATGCCAATCATCTTCTCCTCCTCTCTCCTCGCAGCTCCCTACTCTCTCAGTTACCCCTTTCCTCTCTACTCTTTTACCCCTTTCCTCTCCTCTACTCTCTTCTCCCCCTCTGCAGGTCAACTCAACGGGAGTCATGCCAATCATCTTCTCCTCCTCTCTCCTCCCATCTCCCTACTCCATAACACTCTCTCATCTGCCCCTCTATATCCCCCCGTCCCCCCTCATGTGAACTCAACGGGAGTCATGCCAATCATCTTCTCCTCCTCTCTCCTCGCAGCTCCCTTCTCTCCCATTTACCTCTTTCCTCTCCTCTACTCTCCCATTTACCCCTTTCCTCTCCTCTACTCTCCCATTTACCTCTTTCCTCTCCTCTACTCTCTTCTCCCCCTCTGCAGGTCAACTCAACGGGAGTCATGCCCATCATCTTCTCCTCCTCTCTCCTCGCAGCTCCCTACTCCATCGCTCGCTTCACCGGCAGTGCTGCCTTCCAGTCTGCTGCTACGGCTCTCTACCCCGGAGGTAGGTCACTTACACTACAAGGTAACCACAAGACTTTTGAGTCGACTCAAAAGTCACTTACACTACAAGGTAACCACAAGACTTTTGAGTCGACTCAAAAGTCACTTACACTACAAGGTAACCACAAGACTTTTGAGTCGACTCAAAAGTCACTTACACTACAAGGTAACCACAAGACTTTTGAGTCGACTCAAAAGTCACTTACACTACAAGGTAACCACAAGACTTTTGAGTCGACTCAAAAGTCACTTACACTACAAGGTAACCACAAGAGTTAGTCGCAAGGAAACCACTCTGTTCCAATCTGCTCCTCCACGCTCCAACGTGGCACTGATTGCATTTTTCAACCACTTCTACACCTTCTTGCAACTCACTCACTCCTCTCCCTGGTCCCTCTCGCTCCTCCTCTCCCTTTATGTTCCCTGCTCCTTGCCTTTTCATGTTTCTTCTATCTCCCCGCCAACGTGGCACTAATAGCATTCTTCAACTACTTCCACACCTCCCCCCTGCAACTCACCACCTCCTGTACCCTCTCACCCTGTACCCGGTACCCTGTCACTCCCCTCCAGGTTTCTTCTATCTCCCCGCCAACGTGGCACTCATCTACTTCTACACCTTCCTGCAACTCGACCCCTCACTCCCCTTTCTTTCTCTCCTTGTCATGTCTTACCACCCTACTCATCTCCAGGTCTGCTCTACCTGCCTGCCAACGTGGCACTCATCGCTTTCTTCAACTACTTCTACACCTTCCTGCAACTCGACCCTGCTGACGTCAGTGACCAGCTCAAGAGGCAGGGCGCCTCCGTGCCCAATACCCGTCCTGGCAAGGCAACAGCGGCGCTCATCACCAAGGTGGGTTGTTTTGGATTCACAGTCTCAAGTTGTCATCTGTGACAAGACCAGCTCAAGAGGCAGGGCGCTTCCGTGCCCAACACCCGCCCCGGCAAGGCAACAGCTGCACTGATTACCAAGGTGGGCTCTTCTTGAGTCTTTAATTCGTAGTAACAGGGCATATATCCCACGCTCAACAGGCAAGGGCGCCTCTGTGCCCAACACCAGGCCGGCAAGGCAACAGCACACAGGTTGCTTGACCTACTTACCCACTGGTTCTCACCCGCATTTTGGTGCTAAGCACGATGGCGGCAGCGCCAGCTCTTGTGGAAGGAATCACCCACCTCATGGCCTTCCGGGGGTTCGCAGGAACGTCCATCATCGTTTTAATTGCAGGGGGCATCTGTGCCAATTACTTGGCCTTGCAAATACCCCGTGATTTCATCTCCGCGCTCTCGCTCCTCCCCTTCCCCTCTTTCGTCCCCTTTCTCTTATCTTTTGTTCCTTCTTGACCTACTCCAGGTCCTCACTCGCATTTCGGTGCTCGGGTCGGCGTTTCTTGGCACGATGGCAGCAGCGCCGGCTCTTGTGGAAGGAATCACTCACCTCACGGCCTTCCGGGGTTTTGCTGGCACATCCATCCTCATTTTAGTCGGATGCGCTACGGATACGGCCAGGAAGGTGCAGGCGGAGCTGGTTTCGCAGAAGTATAGGACGATCGAGCTAGATGATATCAGTGCGGGTGGTGGAGGGATTCCGCCACCCAGGTAGATGCTGATGCTGGTTTTAAGACATCTCAAATTTCGTATTAGTACAGGACGATCGAGCTGGATGATATCAGTGGAGGGGGAGGGATTCCGCCTGCCAGGTAAAGGATGAGATTGGGGTTTTAGAGCAGCATGGTCGTGCACAAGGTGTTGAATATGTTTTTTCTGTGGGTTTTGCTGATGTGAACCATAGGTGTATACTAAGCAAATTGGACTAGGAAAAAGTTTTGCACGTGTTACTTTACTTGAATTACTAAGGTTTGCATGCACTAAAGGAGTGCTTTACTGATTAAGGAGTTGCTTAGCTTGTATCGAGTTCCAACAATTGCTTGAACCTCAGCACTTGACTCCCTATTTCGTGTCGGAATGGTGTTCTTCTCAGCAACCTCCGTGGTGAAAAATGCTTTCAGAACGACACGAGGTTCCCCCTTTCATGGCAAGTTCCATGTCCTTAATCTCTGCCGTTCGAACGGACCGAGCCGGAATACGCCCTTGCAGCTCTGCCTTGTCGAAACTTCCCCATCTCCTTGCCACCAAATCAGAGCAACTCTAAAATCATAAACCCAGGATAGACTCCACAACTCCCGCAAGAATCTCCATTTCTCTTTTCCACATGGATGTGATTGTGTTCAGCTCAGCTCTTCAGCAACTCATCAACTACTACCGGCCCAGGGTAACTTGGTCACCTGGCCTTATTCTGCAATCAGCAATGCTCTAAGCGGGGATGGGCGCCAGTGTTACGCAGTATAACAATGTCACGCCGCGTCGAAGTCTCGGCGTTCGGACAGCTTCAAGGGAATGGCAGGTGGACAATATCTGTTGATCAATGTCAGTTTCTTGAGCTGCTAAAAGATGAAACTTCCTGGTAAACCGTGACGATGACGGCGATTCACTCGCTGCACACGCGAAGCATTCCGCTGGCGATTAACTTTGTGAAGGATGCGAATGTGAAGATGACGACCGGCCGTCAGCTGTACCCAAGGATCACCATCTGATCCGTTACGGAGTTTGAAATCCGGCGACCGGCCCGATTTGTGGCGTTGAATCGCCTGGCTGCTTTCGACATCTAGAACTGGTACGCCATTCGCTTCCCAGGAATTTCTCTTATTTTCTTCGTTATAAGCACATCTTGTCACTGTCGAGGCTAGGAGCTTACTTCTCCTCTCTCGACTTCTCCTTATGTGCGACATCAAATCACAAGACGCCATCTGGGACACTGCGAGATCCGTAGGGGCTTGCGCCATCCTTCGGTTCCTGTTTTAGAGGCGATATCATTATTCTAGTCTGGTTATGGTATTTAAATATATATTTATCAACTTCTTGCATTAACCACCATTCTTATCGCCTGTCTCACTGTGTTTTAAATTCTTATCCCACTTTTCTCAGTGTTCCAATCGGATAAGCGGATCTTCAATGTGGTCCCTTATTACTGCTCCTCTAAAGCGTGGCACATCACCCTAAAGAAGACGACTTCTTCCCTTCAATCCGATCTTGTTGGAGCAGCAGTGCTTACATGTTAACGATAACCCAGCTACTCACCTCTCTGTCTGAGGCTGGTTAAATATTTTGGAGTCGTACCACTTCCAAATTTCCGTATTCCTTGTAAACAACCATGGTTTTTCTGTGCAGTGATACACTAACAAAATCAGTGGTCATGCAGTATCAATAAACAAGTGGCTTGTCAGCACTTCCCTGCGAGCAGTTTACCCTACATTAACATATCAAGAAAGACATAATGGTTTCAACCACATCAACTGGCACCGGATGAATTATGTATGATGCACTAACCCCATCCATGAGATGCGACGCAGAGCACCGACATGTGGTCCCTTGTTACTGCTCCTCTTAAAGCCCGGGTACAGCATGGTATTTTTCAAGTTCAAGATTCTTGAACTTGAAGTCGCCAAAAACAGGGTTACCCTCTTTGGTTTGAAACACAACTCGTGAGGCAGGGGAAAACGCTTGCGACGGTCGATCTTGATTGGTTTCTGAGCCCAGTCGCACAACAGATCCGACCATCGCTCACTAGGTTGCCCCAATCTCCTCTCACATATCTTGAAGACCAAGTAGTACTCCTAGCCCACTAGACTACTCGCGTAACTAGGAAACGCACGGCAGGGCGATAAAGGCTAGCTCTGGTAGAGGCATTTTTTTCCATCCAATTCTACTCACTCACGCTGTCTTGCCAATAGCTGAGCAGCACAACTTCATGCCAAACACGCTATTACCGCACCATTTTTGCATGCCACACACGGAACGTCCGTTCTAGCGCACGACACGCGCAGTGCTCGTAAATGGCATTTTCGAGTCGCCAGTCGCGATCCCGCTTACATTCCCTCCCGTCGATCGATCCCTACCATCACTGATCACTCGTCCCTCTTTACCTGCCGCCCTCGCTTCTTCTCTTGTCGTCGCTTTCGTTGCCCGTCGTCCCTCTCCATCACCCTCACGTCTCTTGCTGTCGGCCACGCTAGGTCCATACTAAGCCTTCCGCGTCACCCTCATCTCCCCTGGTCGTCGCCCTATTTCGCCTCGTCGACCGTAATTCCCCTTGAAAAAGCGTTCTTTTTAAAATCAATCTTGGTTTTTTTTCACATATACATATATATTTTAGTCGCCCGTAAATCCCCGCTTCGCCCGTAATTCCCCTGTCCCCCTCGTCTCTCTCGCTTTCCTTCGTCGCCCGCAATTCCCCACACCGCCCGCGATTCCCCAGGATGCCGTCTCCCACGTTTCCCCCCGTCGCCCGGCTTTCCCACCACGCACCACTCGCCTTCCCCCCCACATATACCACCCATCTTCTTCTCCCCACACCACCTGCCTTCCCCCACGCACAGCACCGACCTTCCTCCCCCCGCACCACCCGCCTTCGCCCAACACCACACGCCCTCGTGTTCCTCCTCATACCCGCCCTCCTCCCCCCCACATACCCGTCCTCCTCCCCCCTACATACCCGCCCTCCTCCCCCCGACATACCCGCCCTCCTCCACCCCACATACACGGGACAGAGGAGGAGGGTGAGAGGGGGAGGAGGAGAGGGGGAGGGAGAGAGGGGGAGGGACAGAGGGGGAGGGATAGAGGGACGGAGACAGTGGGGAGGGGACAGAGGGGGAGGGACCGAGTGGAAGGGATTGAGGGGGAGATCCAGAGAAGGAGAAAAGAGGTGGGGGTGGATAGAGGTGGGGAGGGTTTGCTTCCCTCACTACCCCTCCCAATTGCCCTCACTTCTTCTCCCCTCCTCTTCGCCTTCACTTCCTCTCCCCGTCGCCCTAACCTCCTTTCCACGTCGACCTCACCTCCTCTCCCTCTGCCCTCCTTCCCCCCTCCCTCCGCCAGGCTTCCCCCCTCCCTGCGCCCTGCTTCCCCCCTCCTTCTGCCCTGCTTCCCCCTCCCTTCGCCAAGCTTCACCCCTCCCTTCGCCAAGCTTCCCCCCTCCCTTCGCCCTGCTTCCCCCCTCCCTCCACCCTGTTTCCCCCCTCTCTCCACCTTGCTTCCCCCCTCCCTCCACCCTGCTTCCCCCCTTCCTCCGCCTGCTTTCCCCCTCCCTCCTTCCTTCTCCCCTCCCACCTCCCTGCTTCCCCCCTCCTTCCTACCCGCTTCCCCCCTCCCTCCTCCCTGCTTCCCCCCTCCCACCGCCCTGCTTCCCCCTTCCCTCTGCCCAGCTTCCCCCCTCCCTATGCCCTGCTTCCCCCCTCCTTCCGCCCTGCTTCCCCCCTCCCTCCTCCCTGCTTTCCCCCTCCCACCGCCCTACTTCCCCCCTCCCTATGCCCTGCTTCCCCCCTCCCTCCGTTAAGCTTCCCCCCTCCCTTCGCCCTGCTTCCCCCCATCCCCTTCCCTGCTTCCCCCCATCCCCTTCCCTTCTCTACACGGTGCATAGCAACAGACACGCGCATGCAGAAGTTCTTCGATGACTGGATCCCCTGGCACTAGTGATGAGCGTCACTCTCTCCCCACTCCCTCCCCCTCTGCTCCCCCTCTTCCTCGTGGCAGGCCACCGAAGCACCGCATCCAGCAGATCTTCGAGTGGATCTGCCCCGAGGCTTGCTGGCGGAGCTGTGAGGCAGCCTCCTCCCGAAACTGTCTTCAGCCTCCCCTGCTGCCCAGCAGGATGCCGCGGAGCATTGATGCGGGAGGGGGCAGACCATGCTGGCAGAAATGATGGCGGCAATGCATGTCAGGTCTGCGCTGCTGTGGGCCGGGGGAGTGCAGAGTGGTGCAGAGACCAGCACGGCATGTCGATATGTGGCCGGCCGAGATCCTCATGAGTTTCTTGATATGCGTTTCTTGATATTTCATTTTTTATTTAATTCACAATTTGCTTACAATGCTTTTCTGCACCTAATCAGCACTTGAAATGTTGTGTTTTTCTGAAGTGAAGTCTAAAAAGCATCCAGATATTTTAGTAAATTAGAAATTGTTAAAATAGTGTTCAGTGTACTGCCTTACTCTCACTCGCGTGAGTTTCGCGTTACCCACGATTTCAACCCCAAGAGAAGCACCAGCAGCAGTGGTGGGGCTGGAGCAGTGCTCTGTCGCACACAGAGTCGTTCGGCCCTCCCATATCCTTGGAAACAGCTGTCGCATAGTATCGTGGCGAAGGCTGTTTCACCCACCTCCTGAATTCGCTTTCGCCCCACACACATTTCCGAAATACACGATATTATTATTTTCGCCAGACTGTTTCAACCCCACATAACTTGAAAATTTACCATGCTGACCTCGGGCTTTAAAGTGTGGTACCGTAATACCCCGGATAGAAGCGCACCTGCGGTTATAATAAAACATTGTTTTATGGGGGGGTGCGCTTATAATTGAGTCAGATTTATAAGCGCATGCGCTTGTATAAAGGGAAAAATGAAAATCAATTTTGAACACACCATTCTGAAGCTCTCAATAAGGCGAATTCAACCGACCATGCACCAAGTGGGATCGTGCATGGTTTTCAGGCAGAAACCGCAGCGATTCGGTTTCCCACCGCACAATGTTGTCTGGAAACATCGAATGTGACAGCCGTGACGAGGATGTTGTCGTGCGGCCCAATCAGAGCCGCATGCGCTGTGAGGCATGTGCATTCGGGGAGAACCATCTCGAAGGTTCGGCAAGATCCCTTGCCAGCGCAGCGTAGATGCTGCCACGCAGGCGCCTCTACGGGAGTGGGCGGGGGTTTCCTGCCTGTCATCGACGAGGAACCCAAGCCGCCACACAGCAGGGGTCCCCGTCGTTGCCCATTTCTTCACCCTCGTCTCTAATTTTTTCATTCAGTTTCCTGTCTAGCCCGCCTGGCAGGCGAAGCCATGGCGGAATTTAGTGGGACTCACATCCTCTTCAAGAAGAAACCACGCCGCTCATGGCGACTTACCGAAGACGGGTGGTATACCCGTGAGCCACCAGCGCCTCCAGTGCCACCGGATCCCCCTGCACCCCCTGCTCCTCCTGCTCCCCCTGCACCCCCTGCTCCACCCGCTCCTCCCGCACCTCCCGCTCCTCCGAATCCGCCTGCTTTTGCTACGGCAGGTGCTCACCAACGGCCCGTGCTCCAACTGTATTTACCAGCCACGTTCGACGAATGGTTGGCTGAAGCGGACACACCCAAGGCCCGCGATGCACGCATCCAAGCTCCAACGACTGCACCACGGTGGGGACAACCAGAAGCCTGCGCGTGGGATGAGTCGGCTGTGGGCGCCGACGATGATGTGGCTACCGACAAACATGACAGCGGCGCCGGCGAAGCTGGAGGCGACGGTGAAGCTGGTGGCGACGGTGCAGCGGGCGACGAGGAAGACGTGTTCCCCGACCGTGACGAGGACGAGGACGGTGTGGAGTCCTGGTGGCGCGACGCACCACGCGCAAAGATGCCGGTACCGACGTATCCGCCCCTTAACAAAAAACGCCCCCACCCGTCTACCGAGAATCGAGATGCCCGCCCCCCCTCCCCCAGGCACAAGCTGAATCAACATAAGCGGCAGTCCTACACCGCCCAGGAGAAGTTGAGGTGGCTCGTGCGGCTCGAGCTTGCGGCTTCGGTGAGCGAAGTGGCGCGGGAGTCAGGCATACACCGAAAATGTCTGACAGAATGGAAAGCCCAAGCGGAGGCGCTCAAGGCTGCACACGGAGCACGGATGCGACTTCACGGGCGCGGGAGGTCGTCTTGGTACCGCCCCATAGAGTTAAAGGTGTACGCGCAACTCCTCGACTGGCGACGCCGCGGAGTTGCGGTTTCGGTCGGCCGGCTGCAAGAGTGGTCCAAAGAAGTGATGAAGGTTCTATACCCGGACGTCAAGTGGAAAGGCAGTCAGCGGTGGACGGAGCGGTTCCGCATGCGGTGGAACCTCAGCGTGCGCATGAAAACAAAGGTGGCACAGAAAACACAGGAGCGTAAGTGGGTCGTTTACCACTGATTTTGGTGGGTACCCGATTACGCTTAGTTTTATTTTCGCATGTCTCCTGTGCGTCATACTAATTTGGTTTACTATTTGTACCTTTCTCCCTGTTCCGCAGACGTGGCTGAGCAGTGCAATGAGTTTTGGCAGTACGTACGTGACGCCCGGCACGAATACGACATTGAGAACCGCTACATCATCAACGCCGACCAGACACCGCTGTGGTTGGAGATGCCGGCGACGACCACCGTGGAGCAGACGGGCGTGAGGTCGGTGCCCATTCGCAGCGGTGGGTACCAGAAGGAGAGAGTGACCATCATGCTTGCGTGCACGGCGACGGGCGAGAAGCTGAAGCCGTGGGTGTTTTTCAAGCGCCAGACACTCCCCAAGGGTGACTTCCCGAACGGTAAGTGATCGTCCACCGTGTTTATTCCCGTTACTACCTGAGTCGTTAACCGTTCTTTTTCGTTGCGTGCAGATGTTGTGGTCGGCTGCCAAGCGAACGGGTGGATGGAGGTCGCAGGCGTCATCGAGTGGCTCAACACGGGCGTGGTGCCGTTCCTGAAGCCGAAATTCGGCCTGCAGAGTCGTAGCGCCATGCTGGTGCTCGACTCGTATCGCGGTCACCTGACACCAGAAGTCAAGGCGAGATTCGCGGCGCTCAACATCGTGCCTGCTATCATTCCGGCGGGTTGCACTGCAGACCTGCAGCCCCTCGATGTGTCGATCAACAAAAGCTTCAAAGCAAGCATTCGTCAGCAGTACCAGAATTGGTTTGAGGACGACGGCATGAACATCCTGACCCCGGCAGGTGAGTGACGGCATGTGCTCCCGTCTACAAATCTTGAGCTTGAATGCATGTTTACTTGTCTCATGTTTTCCCCGCCCCACTCCGTGTGATGCAGGGAACATCAAGAAACCACCTCCGGAGGTGGTGCTCAAGTGGATTTCACGGGCCTGGAAGGCGGTGCCCGCCAACCTCATCAAGAAAGCCTTCCTCACTTGCGGCATCAGCAACGCCCTTGATGGGAGCGAAGACAAACTGGTGCTGGCGCACCAAAGGTGTCAGTTGTCCCATGAGGTGGAGGTGGACGACGACATCCAGGCAGATGGGTTCTGGGGCAACAACTCCACGGAGCCTGAGTCGGACCAGGAGGAAGAATAGGCAGTAGGGTAGACTAGGCAGGTTGAAAGGTGTAGTGCAGGACAGCAGAGACCACCCTTGTATGTGATTGTCATACTTAATGGAAAGTTTAGAACATGTAGGCTAGGTAGGTTAAAAAAAAATGAAATTCTTTTTTTTTTTAACTAAAAGGGTGCGCTTATAATAAGTCAAGAATTCCAAAGGGGTGCGCTTATAATTGAGGATCGGCCATAAGCGCATTGCTCCAGATACAAGCGCATGCGCTTAACATAGGCCTGCGCTTCTATCCGGGGCCATACGGTACATCACCCTTCTTACCTTCAATCGTATTTTGTTGGAGAGCAGTGCCCACAATTTTAATGACAACCCAGCTACTCTCCTCTCACCACTTCCAAATTTCAAGAATTTGGACAATACTTGCTTCCATATCGTGTGTTAGATGGTTTATCTGTGCAGTGATATGCTAATAAAATCAGTGCCCTGCAGTATCATTGAACAAGTGGCATATCAGCACCTGCCTGCTTGCAGACACTAGCAGTTTACCCTACATTATCAAGTCAAGAAAGACTCTAAACTACACATAAATGAATTTTTTTGAAAGTGTGAAACACTTTCTAAAAATAAAGATTGTGAAAGCGAAGCTGACTGTAGTGAAGCAAGGCAAGCGCGAATGCTTGTTCCCAAGTACATAACGAAGGTTGGAGGCCATTTGGCCTCCACCCACGTCTTCATTTCGGAACTTTTCAGTTCCGCTTCCCCCCCGCCTGCCCCTAGCTTCTCTGTGTGTAATGTTTAAGTTGGACGCAAATGTTGTAATTACCCAATTAAAATGAAGCACGTTGCATTGCAATAACCAGAAAGCAAGCTTTCTCAATTGGCATCAAACCACATCAACTGGCACCTGATTAATCATCTCTGCCGCACAAACCCCATTCATGAGATGCAACCAGGGCCTACATTATCAGATTTTTTTGGTCTGTTTGTCTGGACTCCAGACACGTTTTTTATGGTTCATCTGATGGCCTAGACATGTCGTCTAAACTCATCTGATTTTTTAGACAATGTTTTTGTATTTATCTGAATTCTTAGACATCCTGATACAGTTCGTCTGAGACTGCAGATATCGAGTCTTTTCTCGTCTGAAGGCAAAACTTTCGCGGATCTCAAGGATGAGTACACCTACCTAATGAATCAGGCGACAAAATTTGAACCCGACACATCAGTCTACACGAGTCTCTTTTCTACTGACTAGACCAATATTCGTGATACTTGCAGCATCCGATTACTTGATAAAAAACATTTTTTGCCAACTATATATCCTCATCTGAAATTTTAGACAAGTACTTAGGATTCGTCTGAAAAGCTAGACACTGTTTCAGCTTTGTCTGACAATCTGACAAGGAGCCAGGACCCGGTCTTAAAGCCAGACGGGTCATTTTACTAAAGTTAGCCCTGGATGCAACGCAGAGTAGATATGTTCTAGGGCAATTAGCACACAACCACATCACGTAACACCCGGTTGATCATCTTTGCCGCACACATCCAACAGTATCCCTGATGCTCAAGCTGCGTAGGCAAAGCGCAGACATATTCTACGGCAACTAACACACGACCACATTAGCTGACACCTTGGCGATACCAGTAGCAGCCGCACTGAAGCGCCCACCTTAACACTCTTTGTCGCCTCTGACTTCAACCTCTCATCACATGGTAAACCGCCCTTTCTAATGACGTTCCTCTCCACCCCTTGCTTATCCATCTCATCACAACCAGCCATTCAACCCCCCTCATATTCAACCCCCAGCTAACCCCCTCCACTCCATCCACACAAAGACCTCATACACAATCACAACGCCCCTCTCAACCTCCAACATTACTCACTCTCAATCAACCACATTTAATTAGTCACTCCATTCCCCCACTTGCCCCCCACTATAATAAAACTTACCATACCAATACCAGCTTTCTCCGAAAGCACCATCAATCCCCCCTCAACACCCATTTCGCCCTTTATCAAATCCCCCTCACATTATTTCCTCCTAAAGTACCCCGACTAACCTCCCTCATTAGTATCATCATAACCCCCTTCCTTAACTTTCCCTCTTCTCCCCATCCCATTTGAGGCAACTCACAGGATTCGGCTTGTCGACCAACAAGAAATGGGCGGTGTCGATTAGTCACCTCCCTCCTCAACTCAGATCTCTTCCATCCGCCTTTCTCCTTCTCCCACCAAGCCCACTCTACCGAGGGTTACCTCCCTCTCAGCCCACAATATCCAGGGGTGACCTCCCTTGTAGCCCGCCCTATTTATTGCTCTCCCCTCTCTGGGCCCGCGGCAACTCCACCAGAGATTTGGCCCGCTCCTTGATCTCGCACCCAAAGTGCCATTCTGTGTCCCAGCTTACTCAGAATCCTCCTCCCCCTGCATCTGAAGAAGCTCAACTAAAGCCTTGGCCTTGCTCTTACATCTGGAAGACCCATTCCGAGTCAACTCGTGCAACACCTCCATCATTCCCTCCCCCTGCATGCCCCTGCAGCAATCCGGCTCGCTATTCGCCAGCATAAGCAGAGTCATCACCGCATCTTCCTTCGCTCTCTGTGAACCGCCTTCCACCACTGCAACCAACGCCGGAACCGCACCGTTTATCCTCAGCACCGCTTCACACCCCTCCTGAAGCCTGCACAGGTTCGCCAGCACAGCCATGGCTTTTTCTTCCAGCCCAACTTCCGAGCACCCCAGCAGCCCAAGCAAAACTTTCACCGCATCTGCTCGGACGATTTCCAGCCGGCTCTGCGGGTCTCTAGATAGGTTGAAAAGAACCAACGCCGCGTCTTTCTTTCCGCGCGTGCTGCCCATGCGCAACACGCCGACCAATGGCAGGATCGCTCCCGCTTTCCGAACCAGCGTCTGATTCGCCTCATCCACCGATAGCGCGAAAAGGGCAGCCGCCGCGTTTTCCCGGGCAGCCGGGCTGCCCGAGCGAAGAACATCCGTGATAGCCGCAATCCCCCCAACTGTCGCTATAATAGCAGGCGCCCCAGCAACTAGAGAGAGATTCAGCAGAGCAGTTACAGCCTGGTCTTTTCCAGCAGGGCTGTTTCGTTGCAGAAAAGCCACCAAGGGTGGTATACCACCGGCAGCGATCAGCTTTGCTTTGTTTTCCTTATTGGCTTTTAGCAAAGCGCGCACGGTGGTTACTGCTTCCACCTTCTCGGCGTCAGAGTCGGAAGATAGAGCCTCGACGAGGGCAGGCAGATCAGCAGCAGCTGCTGCAGCGGCAGCAGCAGAGGAAGAGTGGTGGTGGGATTTAAGTTCAAGGTCGCTTCCGCTGCTAGAGTGACTCACGCTGTGCGTTTTCCTGTGGCTGCTGCTGCTGCTGTGGCTGCCGCTGCTGCGGCTGTGATGAGTGCTGTGACTGCCACTGCTGCTGCTGTGGTGACCACTGCCGCTGCTGCTGTTGCCATGCCCCCCACTACTGTGAGACGTGGTACCAATGTGGCTGCTGCTTCGGTTGTGACTGCCAGCACTGCTATGAGGACGAGTGGGTCTATGCCCTTCCCTATGCCCCTCCCTGCGCCCCTCCCTGTGCCCATCCCTATGCCCATCATTTTGCCCCTCCCTATGCCCATCCCTATGCTCCTCCCTGAGCCTCTCCTTGCTTCCGTCCCTGTGCCCATCCCGTGCCCCATACCCCTCTCTCTCCCTCTGCGCCCTGTCATATTCGATCTTCTTATTGGCTGGCATGGATGATGTCCTGTGCAAGCCCCCGCCCCCTCCGCCCCCCCCCTCCTCCACCCACTCCCCCCTTTCCTCCTCCCCCTGTTCCGCCTAGCCGCCCTCCTTCTCCTCCCCGCCTTTCTCCCTCCCCTCCCCTTCTTCCACTATCCAACCCCCCTCCCCTTCTTCCACTATCCAACCCCCCTCCCCTTCTTCCACTATCCAACCCCCCTCCCCTGCTTTCACTTTCCCCAACCCCCCCACGCCCCCCTCCCCCATCCTCCCTCCCCCTATCCCTCTCCCTCTCTCTCCCACCCTCCCCTCTCCCTTCCCCCCGTCCTCCCCTCCCACTCCCCCGCGCACCATCCCCCTCCCCCTCACTCCCATCCAGCGCCCCCCACTTCCTTATATCCGCTGACGTCAGCCCCGGCTGGACTGACGTAGCCCTTCTCAACCCTCCCCCTCCTCCTCCTCTCGCTCCGAACCCCCCACTACTCGGCCTCAACCCCCCTCCTCCTCCCAACCCTCCAAACCTGGTAGGAGGGGTCTTAGGACGGAGGCTCAAATCCTCCACTAAGTCTTTCCCAGAGGCGAAAGTGACCCCTCTGGTGCCTCTAGGGCTCTTAGAAAGGGAGAGAGACGAGGGGAACTGCCTGCGGGCTGGACTGTCTGAGTCTGCTTTGCTGCTGGTGGTGGCGCTGCTGCTTCTGGGAATGTCCAGGTTGGTGTTGGTGCTGCTTTTGTTTTCGGCATGGCTGACTGAAAACGAAAACGGCTCGTTATTGTCACGCTCGCCAGAGGAACCCGTTCTCTTGTGCGCTCCGCCTCCTGCTGCTCCTCCCTCCCCGCCCCCCCCCCTTACCACCACCACCCCCCAAGTCACCACCACCACCAGCACCACCACCGCCACCACTAGCTTTCAACTCCTTCACAAAATCATGGAACGAAAACGACTCTTCCGAATCCCCACCTCTTCCCCCCCCGCCTCCCCCCAAGCCTCCCCCCAAGCCTCCGCCTCCCCCGCCTCTCAGCCCCCCCGAGCTCCCCGGCCTATCCTTTGCCCCTACAGGCACGAGAGACGATGCTCTGCGAAGGCTGGAAAGCGGCCTTGATTTTCCAGAAAGTACCACGCCGCCCACCCCAGGAACGCCCGCTACAGCCGCTCCCCCCGTTAGAGGAACAACTGGGAGCCCCGCCAACGCGCCGCCGCCCTTTTCTAGCACTCCGCCGCCCCCGCCGCTGCTGGAGGAGTCGTGGAGCGAAACGGAATGGCCGCGTCTGTGGGACTGAGACAGGTCGAAGCTCTGTTTTCCTTCCTGGCCGAGGGAGCTTTTAAGAGGGCTCATGGGCGGTTGACCACCGGCGGAAAGCGAGTGCGGAACCCTCCCGCTCTCGCCTGCGCCCTTCCCCGCCCCTTTCTCCTCGTCCACCTCTTCTAGCGCGCCAAAGAACGAGTCGCGCGCGATCTTGCGCGAGTTGCGGGGCTGCAGGGATCCGCTCCGCAGAAGCCCCATTCCGCTCCGCCGCCCCACGCTTCCCCCGATCGGCACCCTGTTTCCGCCGAGTCCGCGGAAGGGGTCTCCACCCGCTCCCCCTCCCCCGGCTCCCAACCTGGAAACTCCACCTCCGGCCGCGCCCCTGCTTCCCCCGATCTCGAACTCTCCGCTGCTAGGGTTGCTTCCCCCGCCACCCGCTAAATTAGATAAATGAGATAAATTCCTGCCCCCGCTAGTAGAACTCCTGTCATACTCACCACTCCTCCTCCCGCCCCGCTCTTCCCGCTCGGACAAATATTCCTTCTCGAGACGAAACTCCCCGCTATTGCGACGCTCGTTAGAAGAACGGTCGCGATCGTCATCGGAGCGGAAATTCCGCTCATCCCGATCGCTATCCCTGTGCCTGTCCCGATCCCCATCCCGGTCCTTACCCCCCCCACGCCTCCCGTCGGAATCTTTTTCTCCTGCCCGCTTCTCCCCCAGCATCTCCTCAACCGCCTCGTGGAACGCGTCTTTTCGTCCGCTGCCAGCGCGGCTGCCCGAAGCGGACATATTCTGCACCTGAACCGAGGTTGATCGGCGCATTGCGCTCCCCATCTTCCGCCCAAGGCTTCCGCCCGCCATCACCCCCGCGCCCCCCAAGTTAAGCCGGCGGTTCACGATTCCGCCGTTTCTTCCCATCTCGCCGTCCTGCCCTCCGCGCTCTTCCGGATCTCCCCCCTCCCGCCGCCCTCCGGAGAGCTCGTTCCTGCTTCCGCTCCGCCCGGAATCCCTTCCCCCTTCCCCGCTTCCGCGCAAGCCGCCGCTTCCGCCTCCGCTGTGGCCCCCGTCAAGCGGATCCGCAGCTCGGCGCAACCCGAGGGACTTCTCCCCGCCTGCGCCAAACCCCCTTCCGCCGCCTCCCCCTTCTCCGCCTCCCCCTTTCCCCTCGCCCTCCGCCCCCTCCGTCTCTTTAAGCGCGCGGAGAAACGCCCCCATCGCACCGGCCTTGGGCTGCAGCGACTGCGATCGGGAGATCTTGACCGTCCGTGTGGCACCGCTCAGTAGCGCATTCGCGCCGCCGCCTCGCAAGCCACCCGCAAGTCCCGGCGGCGTTCGCGGAGGCTCCGCGTATCCGCGGCCGCCAATGGCGCCGTTTCCGCCGCTAAGTTTGGGCGTAGACGCTTGGGCTCGCTGCAGTTCCTGACGGAAACGGATAACCTCGTCCATGTGCTCGGCTGACGTTGACGGCAGAACGCCATTGTGGCCCTCAGGTCCTGCACCGCTGCCGGCAGTTTTACCGGTAGGGCTTGACGGATCGATCTGGGTTACAATCAATCCAGGAGCGAGGTGTAACCCGTTCGCGTCGCACCAATCAGAAGTCAGCTGACGCAGCGCCTGGTTAGGGAAGAGACGCATGTGCTCTTGGTGTTTCCCCGTTATAGGGCAGACTCGTTTGCCCTGTTGAAACCATTTGTCAATGGCGCTGCGTTCGAAGGTCTGACCCGACCCGATGATAACAGGATCCGATAAGAGCTGGTGCGATAGCGGGCAGATGAACTCCGGTGGGACTACAGGATGCTTGCCATCGTGGTTAGGAACTACTAGCCGGTATGCTGCCGTTTCTGACATGACTTTTTGCGACCCTAAACGTCAGCGCTGGGCTGAAGTTAAGGTACAAATTAACGATAATCTCCTAAAGTCAAAAGGTACCGTGGGAAAATAAGTTAGTTAGAATGTATCAAAGATCCAGACGGAACAGCTACCTTTTGAGAAGCTAAGCTCACCTTGACGACATGGATCAATTGCGTTCACTTATCCAGCCTACGTCACTCCAGCCTGTAACGACTTCCCTAGCATGAACTCAATTCCGCCTTGTCTCCAGGCTGTCTCATCCCGCAAAAACCTTGTGCCGGCATACGAAAGGGCACCGGCGTTGCCCTAATTTCAAAACACCAAAGGTCGGTTAGCAGACAGCGCTTTCAACGAACTGGAATAGCTGCACTACGAAGACGCAAGGAGGCCCACGAGCAGCAGGCAGCAGGCAGCAGCCATGGAAACGATAACAGCAGTACAGTCTGCACAATGAGGCAAGGCAACTCTTGAAAGCCAAAACAGAACGACAGTTACTGCAGGTGGAATGGTGAAAGCGTGCCGCAAAGTTTGTTACCGTACAGAACAAAACATTTCACACAAATAATCGTTTTGTACCGCAGATAATCTCATTGAGGGCATCCCAACAAACTCGTGGCAAATGCCCTGTGGAACAACACAGCGCTTCTTGTGAGCGACTTGGGCGACGGTTTCGTGTGAGGAGCTGATGTGCGACTTGACGAAATCCCATCCGCCAATCAATGGCGCTGACGGGCTACATCGAGAGACAATTTGACTGTATCAGTCGGTGGACGACGACTGGGTGCGGAGCTGAAAACGGGGGGGCAGCGCCGATGATCGGTCTGCCAATCAAACCAGCGATTCTGCTGAATGTAGAAGATTCCGTGTAGACCCTCGATCATTATTCAATTAGTGATACAACATAGTAGTGAGACAACATACTTTGTGCGACGTCAGGTTGTACCACCTCCTGTACGCCTACTGCGGTTAGCTTTGTTTCAACAAGGTGCAGAGCGGTACGAGGTGAGAACCGCTTTTCACCGTGCTGGGCCATCCTGAACCACAAAACAAGAACTATAAACGCGTGAGAATTGTATAACCTGACTTCGCCCTTACTATGTAACCATGGTTCTCATTATATGCTCAAGCGAGCAGGTGGCCTCAGCCACTGCTGAATGGGTCCTACCAGTTTCTCTTTCTTCAACTGAACATGCTTTAGCCTCTCAACATACTCCATCCTCTTACTTCTCAACCTTACCAGTTTCTCCTCAATATGAGCAAGCTTTACTCTTAGCCTCTCCTCCTCACTAGGCCCATTGACTTCCACATTCCCATTGTTTTCGCACTTGAAGTCACAGCAACCCCCCTCGTCACCGCTTAAGTCCTCATGCTCGACGTTGTCAGTGAAACAAGCACCTTCAACCCCCGCCACTACATAATCATCATTCATCAGGTGAGCGACCTGCAGCTGCTCCAAGGTTCTTTCCACAGGATAAGAGCAGGATGATGGGCTAATCACTTCACCCTTGCGAAGGGAAACTGCGACGGCATCTCGAGAAGATATGTTGGGAGATGTGACTGTATCAGGGGTGACATGAGAGCCAGACAGACCCAGGGAGCCGACGGATGGAGCAAAGCCAGATTGGGAACAAGGAGAAGTAGTCTCAGGCATGGGTTTGGGCGAAAACGAAGATGCCAGGGTGGACTGTGGAGAGCAGAGGGATACCAGCGCAAGATGAGACAATGTCCCAGGTGCCTCAAGAGGCGTAGCACTCAAATGCCTCTTGACATTCGAGTCCATCTCCCCGGGAAATGAAAAGGTGGAGGATCCTGGACCAATGCGAGTTCTTGGATTCACTTCATCTTCAGCAGCAGCAGAGCTCGGCCGGGAGAGCACCGGCGGAGCGGTCATGCAGGGAGGAATCATGATCGTTCGCCGATCCCTGTCAGCTTTTCTCCGATGTGATTCACAGTGGGCTTGCTGAGACTGTTGAGATGGTTCCGTCTTCATGTTATTCGTCGTCCGGGAAATCCGAGGATCTCGAGAGGTGTTTGGAGAAGGAGAAGGATGAAGGAGAGGAGGCGATAGACTGCGGGTCCAATGCTTCGGATTGAACTTAATACCGGTGCGGAGGGTTCCGTGCGTGATATGATGAGGTAAGAGGGCTTGCGGAACCCGACGTTCTCCCTTTACATCTCCGGCTGCGTACGAACCCTGGATCCGGCGCGCGTGGTCTGCCTCGTCGTCGCTAGAATCACTCCCGCTGTAATCACTTCCTCCGCGGCTTGTGAAGCCAGTTGTCGGCGGAGGAGCCGCGCAGGCGAACATGCTCAGCGCTGCTCCGCGCAGACCTTGGTTCCGCGAATGCCGTTTCCTTCCTTGCGAAAGTCCCCTGTTTTTGGCTCCCCCGCGTGCCATTCGTCGCGGTTGAGCGTAATAGTCATGCATTTTCGCAAAATCGGAGCCCGTTTCTCCGTTCATGGTGGCAAACGATCCTAACGAGGGGGTCATCACTCGAGCACGTTTGAAAAGAGCCTCTGAGAGGCGTGTCGGTCAAAATAATTTTGTACGATCGCGCGAAGTGCGCTGGGAGGCTATGGCAGTACAGCTGACTTCAGTATCCTCCAAGCACAGCCATGGCCGACAAATAGCTTTTATTGCTGCTGCTCCTGCTGAAAGGTCCTGCGAGTGGTCCTAATTCTACTTAGGTTCTGCTTTGTTAGAGAATCGCATCGCAGAGTTGTGCAGAGAATTATCCTGACAAGCTCCACCGAGCCACATTCATTGGTCCCAAAACAAACCGCCGAACCTCGGCTTACATCCATGAGCACCTCGAGCTTGGCTGGAGCCGAGAGGTTCGGAAAGAAGCTGGGGCTAAACCAAGCCTCAAAACGGTTTGGCGAGACAGAAACGAACCGCGATATTTGTGATGTGAACCTCTGACAGGCTTGATTTCGTAAGGGCGTGTAACTTTTTTGCATTTTGTGATTTTGACGTACCGTCCGATTATATAGAATCGGACGGTACGTTTATAACGAAACGGACTGTCCGTTTTGAATGTTTGCAACTTCGGACTGTACGAATGCATATGTGACACTTTTTCCACATGCTAGGGTTCCGCGATGGTTTTCCCTTCGCCATCTCAAATGTTTGGAATTAATTCACATTTCAATGTTTGCCCACGCGATCCGACTTCAGTTCAACTGGCCACGGTCTCATTTCTCTGCCTGCACGTCAATGTGCGACTTCATAGATGGGTGGTTTGGGGGGTTGTGCTTTCGAAGAGTCTGGTTACGTGCTACTTGCTGTTGGGAAATCTTGACTTGCGCGACCTTGAGGCATGGCCGTTAGGTTATTGCCTGACGATATTTATCGCACCTTCTTCGTGCGATTTTACGAGAAGATTTTATTGGTGGCGAAACCGATTCGGTTGGACACCTGTCATGCGATCCGGGCGACCTCTGTCGCCTGCCAAAAGCAGGATTGGTGGCCAAAGTGGGGCCCTGCCCCACCTGTGTTGGGCTGAGAAATGGCCCTTAGGATCTTTGCAGGGGTGAACTCTGGGTACAACTGATGTAGTAGCGGAAGCGTTTAATGAAGAGTTGTGAACCACCTTGCGCTAGTATGTGAGGGCAAAGTTGATTAATTAAAGCAGAGAGATACAAGATTGTATAGAAGAGTGCAAGGAATACGAAAAGATACGGTTCCAACTGTTTTACTGTTGCTGTTGCGGTTCGATAAAGTGACGTGACGACTCGGCCAACTGCTCTGTAACGAGTCAGTTGTGTGTCCTTGCTGTCGTGCTGTACTTGTCAGGTGAAAGGTCGCTGACCTTTGACTTTCGCGTAACCTCCAGCAACTGCTCAACCTCCGAGGGTTGACTCGTCAGTGCTTTGATATGCTTCGCTTTGCTTCTGACTTGGTGTTTCGACACGACAGAGGCGCTTAGAGTTAATTG